GAAGGCAGAAGTGTTTGCTCTCCTGGCTGATGTGGATGAGAGCAGGCTGGGTGAAGAGTTCCTTCCAATTTCTTCTCCCTTTGCAATTCCAACCTGGGGATTTATTTGTGCACTGAACGATGTATATGGGACTTACATGGATATGTTAACAGACCCAAAGAAACAACAGCATGGAGCTACATTTGCATGCAGTATTAGCCTAACAAAGTAGGCACAGGCTCACACAACATCCACACAACCCCACCCAAACCAGCATCACTGAGAAACTGCCCCATTGCAACAACCTCACTGTCTCACCCTTGAGCTGTGAGGGCTGCCCTGGGTGTCTGTGGATGAGCAAACACCACCACACCCACCTTAGTTCTGTGTTGAATTCTCCTCAAACTGCCATTATTGTAGGACTGACAGACTGTTTGTGCAACGTTACGGAACATCGACACAGCAAAGTGCAAATACGAATTTTTCATGCCCCTGCTCCAAGCAAAGGCAAGGCCATGTGCACCCTCAGGAGGGAATGATACAGTCAGTGCAGCACCAAGTCCCTGCCAGTGGCACAGACTGTACCCAGCATTGATATAACCTGTGCTCAGCAGCCACAGCTTCTGCTCAGCTGCTCTGATCTGCTCGAGTGCTGGCACATCAGTTGTGTCTGTGCACAACATGGGATAGACACGAATCCTGCATGTCCCAGAGACTTTCTCTTCTGAGACCCCCAGCTTCTAACCGTGTTCCCAGGGATGAAAACGTGGCCTAGGGGGTGGAGAGGGGGAAGAGCCAAATTCCTAGCAGAAATCTGGAGCCAGCTTCCTCAATAAATATCATTCTGGCTTCACTGTAATGCCTCCCACCACAAGAGTCTGGCTGCAAAGAGTGCTGTCTCTCCGAAGCCCAGGAGCTTTACCCAGGATTTTTCCAATTGTATCTGTCATTCTGGATGATTGGTGAAATTGCCTGAACCCTCCAGATACTGCAGTGCTGCTGGAAAAGTCAGGACACTGGCTGAGCTCAACAGGGAGGTGAATAGATTTGGATAAAACCTAGTGAGCAACTCTGCCACAGACACACATCAGCAACTGGTGCCTGAAGGGTGGGACATGGGCTATGCTAATTTTACCTATCTTCACTTTCCCTTTCAGACAGCTTTCAGTACCAGCAGAACCCAGAGCTGACAAACATCCTGCATCCCAGCAGCTCTGGCTCCTTTACCTCAGCAATCACAGAGGCTGTAGGCAGGCACTGTGTTTCCTGTTCTGGGTTGGCAATGTTCTTTCATTTCAGATAAAACAAAGATGTAATTTAAACTATTTCCTCAGTTCTACAAATAAGTCTGTTCGAAAGAAGGAAATTATTCTCCTCCATTTGTTTTTACCTCAGTTTTAAGGAAAAAACCTGATGTACAAAAGACACAGAAATCAGTCCAAAACCTCCAAAAGGGCATTTTCAGAATGCAGCAATGGCAAAATACATTGTGTTGGTTTCCCTTACCTCAATTTTTACTACAGCTATTCAAGTGAATCCCTTCTCAATGGCTTATTGATTGCAAGTTTGATTATTCTATTGAATTCTAACACCCATAGACTCAATTTTGCAATATCAATGGGAATACTTAAAAGCCACACACTCTGCAGGATAAATGGATTGGTACAGTTCTGTTATCTATTTACCAGCCCCCAGCTGCACTCACACACACTGGCTCTGCAGGTGGCCAGCAGCATTTCCAGTGGAAGAAAGATCCATTTCTCTACTGGCAATCACACTTTACAATCTAAACCACACACATTATTTAAATAATCATTCAAAGAATGCCATGGAGTAAAAAAAAAAAAAAAAAAAACCAAACAAAAAACTACTGGATAATTACACCTATGCCCATGTTTAATATGAAAACACAAGTTTCATGACATGAAGAGCCACCTCCTGCCAGCACTGGTGGCACCCTGGAGCTCCTGCCCGTGATCCTGCCAGTTGCTGGAGGTGGCACTTTCCCACCAGCTCCCACTCTTTGGGGATTTCTCCCCAAAGAACAACCCCAACAGCACTGTTTCAACCATGGCTTATCTACAGCACACACATTCATCACCCATTTTAAGGGAAGAGCAGCAGCAAAGATTGTTATCAGCACGGCCTTGCCCCTTCTTGAGTGAGTATTCTCTATTTCTGTCCTCATCAGACACCACTGGTGCCCTCTGGCCTTGCAGCTCAGGTGGTCCATGGCTTATCTCACTTTTAAGCTTACTCAGACCACCAAGGGCAGCACTGCACGTTGCTAAAAGCCCCATAAAAGGTATACATTCAACAGCAAAAACATTTTTATGAGCTTGAAAAGTCAGACATGGAGTCAATGTGGTAGTGAAAATCAGAGTACAGGCCTTGGAGAATGCAGTTAATTGACAGAACATCCTGATTCATCAGGCACCACTTTGGCAACTGGAAACTTAGGTGGCATTCTGCTGGCTGGCCTACTGGCTTTATCTGAAGGCTGGCATGAGCACAGGAACCCCAGAAAACAGTTTGTAATGTCTGTCCCTACCCAGGGAACATTATAAAGCCGTCAGCTTACATTTGAAAAAAATGGGTGGGTTTTTCACTTTATTGATGCACTCTTCTACACAGGATTTTTTGAAAATCTACATCAAACAAGGAAAAACAAATGCTGAGAGGGCAGATTTAGGGCAATTTATCAAGGTCTGGGAAATAGCTTCCAGATGGATTGAGCTGTTTGGTGCTGGCTGGTGAGAAGGAAGCAAGGTATTGTTATTGAATTAGCATGAATCTCTGGTGGAGAACTGCGTGGTAGATAGAGTGCTCCTTTCATATGGTTTGCATTTGGGCCTGTCATACTTCATTTTTATTCAAAAACCTGTGGTAAAGACACACGGTTCTTTTCTTTTTTTTTTTTTTTTTTTTTTCTTTTTGCTTATTAAATTTCCACCAGTTCTCCCTGAGCTGTTATCCAGGCAGTATTTTTAAACCCAATTTTTAAACTCCAAGTGCCATGCCCGGTCTGTTTGCTCCGTGCCACGCTTGGCTGATGGCTCAGTGCTTACAAGCTCACAAGTGGCTTTGGGTTTTTCATTCACACACTGATGTCACCTGAGAAAGTATGTGAGAGAGGAGAAAAGCTGGATGCTCTTTGAGATGTTTGAACTGAGTCACTTCAAGCGTTTATCAAAACCCTTTCCAAGGAAAACGAAGCATCCTGAGGTTTAATGCGCAGTGCAACGTGCCGATATCACCAGAGGGTTATTCTTGATAATTTATCCTCCCTTCATAAATATAAACTTAATAAACTTCTAGCAGTATAAATGAATCTATACTAGAGAATTTGTGAATAAGGGGTACTGTAAAAAAAACCCCAAAACAACCACCACCAAACAAAAATCTGAGGACAAAAAAAAGAAGATGCTCATAACTAACAAATTTTCTCTTTGAATAGCCTGGGTACCTGTTCCATGATATCTGCCCTACAGAGTAAGACGTACACAAAGATTCATGTGTTTTCCTGCTAGTTCTGAAATAATTTACTTTTCAAATTCCCATCTGAATTCAACATAATTCATGTTAAATATCAAATTAAAATGGCCATTCTTCTATTAACCCGAGGAGATAAACAGATTGTTATCAAGTAGTTTCAGTTAAATGAATTTTTGACAATATGGTCTTTTAAGATCCCAGAAAAGTTGCTGGTTGATATGCCAATGGGTAGAATGATTTTTAATGACAGGAAATTTCCAATGGCTTTTTCAATTATTTAGGGGAACTGTTATTCTTCTTGAGTACTAGGTGTGGGGGCCAAGAAAAAATGAGCTTTACATCTTCTCTTTTTCCAATGTTTCAAGGATCTACCACAATTAATCTGGGATGTATCCCAGGCAAACAGAGAAGGGAAATGGTGATATCATCAGAACCGATTAATTCCTAAATCCTACCTCAAGTGTAACACATGGATACTTGTGCTTACTTCCCACATGTATGTCTGGTTTTTGCCCTTCTTTTTTTTTCCAAAGTAATAATTCTTATTACTTTATGTTTTATGAGCATCTGCTTCAACTGACCAAGACTGTAGGAAATATCCAAAGAGGCAAATAAAATCCCAGTCTGCAGGATGCAGCCTACTTCTTTGGCCATAACATCCAAACCCTCCAGGCTGTGAACAGATCATATGCCTCATTTATTACTTATACTTAATCCTTCAGCTACTGGTTCCTGAGTTAGATTTCCAGCTATATCACCTCTGAGGCAGTGTCTTGGTACCCTCAAGCTGGCACGACGCAGTGTGAACCAGGGGAGCATTACTCACTGACACGATTTCCCCATTTTCCAGTGTTATCAGTAAGCTGGCACTGCATGCCCACAATGCCTGGCATCCACAGGATTCACATGTGCAGACCCCTCTGTGGGCATCAGTGCTCCAAAGACAGGGACAGCTGAGTCAGGGGTTGTGTCTGATCAGTGATCCCCTTTCTGTTTAGTCAGTCTGTGTAAGATGGATGCAAACTAGCAGGTACCAACATTCTGTCACCATGGACCAGACCAGCACTTAATTCTCATCTGAATTGCCTCCTCTTTGGCCTGGAAGCCTAAAAAGTGGTTATCTCATTGCTGGCAGAAGAAAAGAAACTAAAAGGAAGATAAACTTGCCATTTTGTATGGATGTCTATTATACAATCAGACAATGCCCAAGGTTGGAAGTGACCTCTGGAGAGTGTGCAGTCCAACCAACCTGCTCAAAACAGGGTCAGGTAAAGCAAGCTGCTCATGAAGACCTGTGTGGTCACAGCATAAAGCAATGCAATTCCAATAGCATGGCATAAAATCTGTAGTGGGGCAGAGCTGAAATGTCACACACAATGTGCCCTGAGTAAGGGATTTTTTGAGCCCAGTTGCCTATAAAATTGACATGGTGCATGACAATTAAACCTGACATGGTACAACAATTAGAAGACCAGCAGGGAAGGGGAAATGCTCTTGCTTTTCATGTAGCTCATTTGTAGTCATACCTTGAAACCAAAAGGGCAAGTGCATTGATAAAGCTCCACTGGGTCACTGCTGCACGTCCCGTTGTTCTTACACGGGTTGGAGAGGCAGGGGTTGCACTTGGACACAACACTGAGATCTGCTGGCTCTGGAAAGGCAGACACAATGCATTAATGGAGAACTGGAGGACAAAACTGACACTTCCCATGCACACACAAACATTTTTTCCTAAGCAGTATTCACCCTGCGCTGGCACAAACACACAAACACAGCAGCCTGGGATTCCCAGGGATCAGAGAGGCTTTAAGTGCTTAAATCAAGTGCTAGGGAAGTCTCAATGATGCTTATATTCTGAAGATGCAAACATACACTCTGAAAAAAAACACGTTTGGAGCCTCCAGAGAGTGGGTTATATATATATATATGTATATTTAGCTTTCAGCAATTTTTCCTTCTCTCAGTGCTGGAAATCCTGCAACAGCAACCCCCAGGGAACTGTAACCTGACATTTCTATGGCTGATAACAAGAATGAAAGTGCAGATGTAACAGCATAAATAAAAAACATGCATAAGAAAGATTTAGTTAGAGGCTTATGGGAATATTTAGGTGCAAAGTGTTCTACCATTCTTAATTTTTAACTTAAGCTAAAAACTTATTTTCTTCCTATTCTACCCAGAAGAGTGATCATCAACATTCAGCAACCTTGACAAAATGCAAAAAAAGTCAAACATGCAAAGATGTAAATGTATTCAGGTAAATACACATGGCCATATTTAAACCACTTAATAAACCTCATATATGTAACAGAAATCTTCCAGTCAAATAGTGATGTTTGTGAGTGAGCAGAAAAACAAACACAGACCAAAAGAATACCAAGTACATTTGGGGTCCCAAATCAATCATTATTTTATTGTTGAGATTTTACAGAGAACTAATTTAGACAGTTATTCACAGCTAAAGAATGGTGATTTTTTTCTTAAATGGCAGCCTTTCAAACATTAAAGAGTATTAACTCATTGGCTTTTACATGTAAAAAAGAAAACCTAGCACTTTAAAAGGGCTTAAATGATATCAAATTATATTAAAATAATTTTGTTTCGCTTTTAAGGAAATATGCTTTAAAATAGTTTAGAATGGGTCCTGTACTCATCAGAAGTGAGCACAGAGCTTCTGGTATTATATGGTAAGTAGTGAGAAGGAGTAAATTATGAAACATCTTGAAAGTGAAGAAAAGAAGTTTATATTTGATGACTTGATGTTTGGGAGAAGGTGGAGCTCCAGAGGGTTTCCAAAACTAGGGATGAAAAAGCCTTTCCAGTCAGGGATTTGCTTTGAATCATCCTGCATGAGCTATAAACCTTCTCTGTTTACTCTGAACACTAACAGAGCACCAACAAGGGTAAGAACACGGCAGAAAAGGCGACCAAGGGGTCTCAGCTGAAGAGCACCTGCCAAGTGAACGCTGTCCTCATCCTGCACTGATGGTGGTGCCTTCAGGGCACTCAGTAATGAGTTAAAAATACAAAAGAAGTAACAAATTCAAAAAAAAAATATAATAAACAACTGTTTGTCGTCCTCTTCTGTGTTTGTGTTCATGTCTAACTAAATGCCACACTTTTTACCTTGAAGCTGGGGCAGCCAGGGGATATCACACCTGAATTTCTGGCACTGACAGGGGCTGGAATGTGACATATCTGAGCTACTTGTGTCCTGATGGTAAAATATACAAAGAACAAACCAAGGTAGCTCCTTGGAGAGCTCATGAGCCAGGCAGCAGTGCTGCTCTTCCAGATTTAGAGGTCAGTAAGCAAGAATTTGTTCTATTATTTATTTATTTCACAATACACACGCGTACATTTTCCATTTATTCCTGTAGCATAGATCAAAGCTAATCAATGTAGGAGCTAATAAGAACAGTGTTAGTTCCTAGCAGTTAAGTAGTTCATTAGTTTGCCCTTGTGGATTTGATTTATAAATCCATATAGCAAAATGCCCTCAGCCCAGCACATTCCTTTCCTCTACTGCATAGCTGGGAGGGCAAGTTAATAAAAAACAGAGCTGAGTTTGCATGACTTGCACATTACACACTTTTATTTTCTTGGCTCTGCTGAGACATAACCTCCTGCTCAGTCACAGGCTAAAAACATACTTTTAACAAGAATAAGTTAAACTACTTTCTTCTTTTTTTTCCTGTAGAACTTCCTGGAGGTCACAGAGGACACCTGTGCACGACCCCTACACTGCATCTCAAAGTACCCAGCTCAGGATGGGCCAACTCCTGGCACAGTGACTCAGGGATTTGGAGGGTTCAGCACTCCCTAAGCTCCAGAACTGGAGCTGCACGTGCACCCAGACAGAACAGCATGAGTCTCAAACATGCACATGGGAAATGGGTGCAGTAAGACTACCAAAACATGCACTGTTTTTCAAAATGTATGTATTGTGATGAGCAAAGGTGAATTTTTCTAGGGCTTGGAGCTTCTTGGACTCTACTGCCACTTATCCAGACCATCAACAGTTTCTTCTTGCCCAAAGACCAGCTCCAAATCAACACTTTTTTCTCCTTTTCTATTCAGATAAAGCAAGCCATGGAGACAGTAGAAAGTCCCATTGTGGGATATTAGAAAGTCCAGCAGCTTTCTAGCATACAGCTACTTTTAATATCCTGGATAACAGACTCATCTCTAGCCTAAGAACTGCTTGTTTTGTTTTGGGAGAGAGTGAGCATAACTATTGATATATCTTGGTTTCAGAATGAAGAAAGCATCTAGCTTCTCTTTCTGAACTAATTTACAGATCCTGCTTAATATATAAATGCAATTATTTTCTGTGGTTCACTTCATGGGAGCAATGCATTATTTGGTATTTTTAGTACATAGGGTGTATTTGTACTTCAGGTCTGAGAGACCATTGTAAAGGCTGTAGTTTGATAATTACAGTCAGAGTTCTGATAGTTTTGAGACTGAAATTTCAAAGTAATTAAATTATAAGGTTACAGTTATTAAAGATATATCTGAAAGGACATAAAATTCAGCTCAGCCTTGGGAACCTGTGTTCTAAACCCACCTCAACACCATTATTTGTTTGTTCAGCAGTTTAATCCCAGCATCTATAAAATCACCCTGCCAAGCAGTACTGTAAATGTGCATGGCACTCTGAGACACATAAAAACAGGCTTTATGCCCTCATTTCCATTTCTAAGAGAGGCCACTGAGCCATCTTTTCCACTATAAATACACCTCCACCTTTAAGTACTTGATGGTAACCTAAGCAAACCTCCTAAACTTTTTGTTTTACAATGAGAACACAGAGGTATGTCCAAATCTTCGTTCACTAATGAGATACTTTATCTATAAAACAGTGTGCTCCTTTTTAGTTGTCTGACTGCTCTCTAGTGCAGCACACTCCTGTCACTGACTACCCTAATGGTTCATAGCTGCACCTCAACCCTCTCCTGAATGAATGCACACCCCATTCAAACATGACAAGTTTTCTATAATCTACAGCTTCTGATACAGAGCTGATGAGAACAGTTTGCAGATGTGAAAATTAAAATGTGCTTTTGCTAAACACTTGCTTTCTAGAAGAATTCTCAGTTTCTCAGTTTTCAAGTGCATGTATATGACAAATGGAGCGCTCTATATTTTTAAATAACTTATTTTACCCAAGTTTTCTGGGGTAGGCCACAGGCCAAAATCGATCTATTTGCTCCAATAAGTTCTAACACCTTATGTGCTAATGTGCCACTGTATAATCTGGTGTGAGCAACAGGAATATATATATGTTGTGAAGTTCCCTGGCTTTCCTTCCAGTGGAGGAAATGTAACTATTTCTCATCTGCTCTAACTGCACCATGTGGAAATGCACAATGGAAGGAACGTGATGGTTCAGAAAGCGAAAGCCAAACTCAACGCACCCTCAAACGCACTCTGAACCCAAGAGTATAAAAATGAAGCTCTGTGTGTGTGAGGGAAGGCAGCAGGACAGGGCAGGGAGCTCTGGGATGGCTCCTACCTTTGCACTGGAAGTGGTGGGTGGGGGTGGTGAGCAGCAGCCTGTCCACCATGGCCTCGGGGCCGCTGCAGCGGGCGATGCCGGGCTCCTTGTATCCCGCCTTCACCCACTCCGAGAGCCAGCGCAGGTGGCAGTCACAGTGCAGGGGGTTGGTGCCCAGGGCCCTGGGGGGGGGTAGAACAATCAGCAGAGGTTATTTGGCAAAGACAACAGCTCTGACCTCACCGAGGTACCTACATTCCTATGGCAAAGATGTGATGAGTATTCGGGAAGTGTTCTCATTACCAGGCAGGTAAGTTGTAAAAATACTTAACAAGAAATCCCTTTTTTAAACAGCTGTGCTCCAGCAATGCCACCAGACATTGCTTTCACAAAATTTATCACGTTGGTTTCTTTGATTTAATTCTTTGTCCTTCCTGAGCATATTCAAGCAGTGAGTTGTGTAATTCAGTTTGGATCTGATGACTCAGGTTAGTGACTCCTCTCCAGATGAAACACACACACACAGAGGATACCTCAGTTTTCAGAACTGCAACCTAGTGTCTGCTAAGTTTATTTATGGCTTTGAAAACACATTTGCTGCTTAACCCATCATTTGAGTTAGGTCAAATAGCTGAAGAAGATATATTTATATAGTGAAATGATAATTCTCAGAACTTCTTTATTTTCATGGACATCTATCTGAAAGAAAACAAACCTTTTAACCTTAAATCCAGGTGCTGCCTTGACTCATTTATACTTCTCTTTCTCTTAAAGAAAGTGTCTTTTTAGGCAATCAGTCAATTACAAACAGAGTCCAGACTTCAAAAAAGTCAGTTTAAAACCAACTGATTTTTGAAAGTGTGAAGAAATGCATGTTGAAAATCTGAATTTATTTTGCTCAAACCAAACATAAGACTTTAGCTGTAAAAACACCTGAATTGCCATGGGAAGAAAATGAACCAAATAAAGATTAGCACAGGCAAGAGATAGTAAAGAAACCAGTAATTCAAACTGGGTTTTAGACTTTAAAATTTCTGCATGTGCTATAAACTATTTTTAAGGTGGTACTTTAAACTCAAGCTTCTTTCAAATAAAAACATATCAGGCAGGATATTAAGACAGAAACCTCAGTAAATTTGTTGATACATTTCTACTGGAGTGACTAATGAACCCACTGTGCCCTAGACAGATTCATAATGAGAGTTCAGAGGTTCAAACCCTGTCTGGGCCTCATTCATCAAAATTAAATGTGTACTGCAGCACAGCATTAAAAAATATCCATCCACTCCTCCTGGAAATCCATTGCTTGCAACGGAAAAAAACTACTGGGTTGACTTTTTGACCCTGTAACTGTGATCAACTGGCTCACTTGTCCAAGGTCAAATAAAATGCAGCAGTGAAAGCTGGATTGAGAAATTAACTTTAGCATTAAGCAACTGCCATATATAAAATGAGAGTGGGAGGACAACAGAAAGCTAGTTACCATGTCAATTAATATTTATAAACTACATTAGAAATAGAACTGTTCTATAGACACTAGAAATTATTACCAATAACACTGTTGACAACTGCAGAAATTATTATATGTATCCTCCTGTTCTTCTGGTTGTGGTTCATGCTTTGCTGGGGGTTTTTTTGGCTTTATTTTTGGCTGTTTTGTTTGTTTGTTTGTTTGTTTTTGTTTGGTTTTTGTTGTTGTTGTTGGTTTTGGTTGGTTTTTTTTTCATTTCTAGAAACTCCAGCGAATTTTTGTATTTTCATTCATGAGTTCTAACATATTCTCTCAATTTCTTTGCATATTACAGCAAATTATTTCCAGAAGGTAAAAATATCTTGTGCTGTAGTGAAACACCACCAGCAGCATTTTCAAAATGCTGGGCAGGTTATTTCTGTTCAGACACTTATTTTGTTTCGTGGCAACTCAATGAAGTCCATTAAAATAAATCCATTCACAGTAATGTGGAGGGAAAAGACACAAAGAAGGGGACGGGTTATTTTTATAGGTAATTAATGTAAATTTGAGTAAAGACGAGATGATTCAATAGGATTAGGAATCTGAGCTGTTCATAGGAAATATGTTGGAAATACCTGCTGTACCCAGCACCTGTTACTATGGGTTTGTGGAATCCCTGGATTGCCAGGGGGTCAGTTTATGTGTGGGCAGTGTTTGGAACACTGAATATTGAAGAGCTGTGAAGGGTGAGGACAAATGCAGGAACTGACCTAACTCAGGAGGTCTCAGTTCCACCCCAACAGATTTTGGGTCGATATTAAATAATATTACACTTGATCCTCCAGGAGTGCTGTAACATTTTTATTATGGACTAAAAAAGTTAGTGGAGTCATGGCTTAAATAGACAATTGCATGGTTCAAGTAAATAAAGCAATAAATAGTAAGCAAAAGCAGTGTGTGTATAACACACACAAACCTTCCTCTGATTTTATTGAGCTGTATCAGCTACAGAGTTTATTATAATATTTACACTACAGCTATATGATGGTTACAGCATAAAGGAAATGTGGTGAACATTTTCTTTAAACAGCTATGGAGAAAGTGAGGGAAGTATCTAGATTTTGTTCTTCCAGTTACAGACCAACTTAAAGCTGTTACAAAAGACTCTGACTAAAACTAAAAGTTTTGTCTGTGCAACACAAATACCTCTTTGCAATTCTAAAGGTTAACTGTCCTGACACAGGAGGCCCAGGCTCAAAACCCTGGTACTCACCTCTCTCCTGCCAGAACACCTATCCCACCCTTGCACACACAGCTTGAACTTTTAGGATAAATTTTTTTTCTCCCCTGCTTTAAGAGGTCAATGAATAGCAACTCCTTGGATAATTTTCAAACTGACTCCAAGTGTATGCTCTTTCCTTGAAGACCTATATATGAGGAAGGGCTCAAAATGCATTTATTTTCAATTATGTATGACTTAGTTTGAGTAAGCACAGCTTTCTCTGGCATGTGAAGAACAAATTCGTCGTCGTTGCTAAAAGTTTCAGGATCCTCTTTAAGAAACCAGAGAGCACAATTGCACTGTAAAATTCAACTGTTCAACTGTGCAAATTACACCCCAGACAGGTCTTATTTATTTTATGGATCCTATTTATTACTGTTCATTTGAGCTTTGTGTATTTTACATTTCTGGCAGCACATATATCCAAACAGATAGACTGCAGAGATTGTGTTGGGCCAAAGGGGGTTTTATCACTCCCTAAGGTGACCAGTTTACCCAGGAAAACTGTGTCTGCACTTCATTTAAAGTGAACCCCGAGGGAAATCCAAACAAATGGGGCACGATATGTTTATCTCTTATTCTAAAAATACCCCCAGAAGCCAGATTCCCAATATGGAAGGTGTTACTGCACTTCCAAAAGGAGGTGCGGGGCTTCAGCTCAGTCTAAACAACACACAAAATGACTTGACTATACTGGGAATGAGAAAAACAAATACACTTTGTGTAAAACAAATTATATCAAGGTGTAAGCTGGAAATGAAGAGGGTTATTTCTCAGCTCAAGTTGCCCAGATTGCTCACATGATTTCTGTCCCTACCAATCTGAGATATTTTTATTTTTCATTGTCCAGAGAGAAACAGAGGCAGAAAGCTGCCACACAGAAACACACAGTCTGAGGATATACCTTCTATACAGAAAATATGTCAAGTCAAACTCAATCTTGTGTTCAGGGAACTGTTCTGGAGGGCATGTTGGAGGTTGCAAAGAGATAATAGATAGATATAAACCTATGTTAAATGCACACATAGCTGCTTGTATGTCTCAGTGTGTGTGTGTCCATCAGCAGCAGAGCAGAAAACGTCCACATCAACCTGTGAAACTGGTCACTCCCCATAGGGACCAAGAGCTGCCCAACCCTGTGATAACTTGAGGACAGTAATCAAGAAACATGCTACACAAAATCACCTTTCCTTTACATGTATTGTTTAATAATGAGAAGTATCACACACTATCTCACTGAAAAAGCGCTGTCTGGTCACTTTTTTGGCACCAACTGTAACACTTTGGGTTTAGTTTGTAGCCATTGCAGCTATTTGTCTGTACAGCTCTTTCATCAACTGAATTGCATTTAAAAATATCCTGGATCTCCACCAGGACAACAGTAATTTCCTGAAATGTCTAATAATTTTTGCAAATTATGGAATGAAGTATTAATGCTGTGAAATGACCCATTTCCATGTGAATATAGATGTGTCTGAAGCAGTGATTCATCAACAAGTTCATATACCGACAACATTCCGGTATGCAAAACATATGACACTTATTAAGGGAAGAATTCGCATTTGCTTAATATTTGCTCTTTGTGGGAGGTTTCCTGTCTCGCTCTCAGACCATAACACACTCTGCATTTCACATCAACAACGCTGAAAGAAAACCTTAAACACAAAGCCCACAGAGAAGGAAACTGTCACACTTGCTCATTTGGTTTTCCTTAAGAAAATATTTTTTTAACTAATAACAACACATTCTAGTATTTTTTTGTTTCTTTTGAACAGATGCACTACGAATATCCAGAGCACAATATGAAAAGTGAGCAAGAAAACCAGAAAAGCTACACAATCCTACACTGGTAATAATATGCAGTGTTTTATAAATCTGAAGCCATCAATCAAACAGATGAACCCAAGCAGAAGTACTTACAGATGGGACAGGGATACCAGGTCATTGAAGGAACCTTCAGGAACACTGGAAATATCGTTTCCATGGAGTGTCCTAGAAGAGAGAGAAGCAGGAAGGTAGCAAACCACAGTATTTTGTCTGCTCCCTGCTCCCTTTACTACACAGGTAATAGGATTAATGCTTAAAAAGGGTATTTAATTTTGTTTCTTTGAGAGTTTTTATGATCTTCACAACTCTTGAGTTTCCACACTTTATGCATTATTACTTCTACTTCTAGATGCTGGCATTTAAAACAATGATACGATCACAATCGTTGGTGACTGCACCTGTAAATTAAAGAGGTGACATACTATTTATGCCATTAAAAGTGTATTGATGACAAGCAGACCCTCACATACAGACCTGTGTTCTCTTATGGAATCCCATTAGCCAGAAACACAGCAAAAACAGAACAGGGAAAATAAGAACTGTGAAAGTTAAATTAAATATTGACTTCAGAGAGATCCTAGGAGAGAGCAAGGGTCCCTGAGGGCAAATATAGCTGTGCTTTCCCATTTCTACAGTAGGAAGTACCTCTATGTGTGGTGTTTTTAAAACCCATTTGACAAGTACATTTGTGCTACCAAGGAAAGTACTTGAAATTAGTTGGTTTAGGACATGATTCGCCCTGTGCAAAGAAACTAACATTTTTCTAGCAGGGTTTTCAGGACCCTTGTGAAAGAGTTCTCCCCTGTTTCCAGGGTAGTTTAAGTATCCACTTTATCTCTTTTCTAAGAAATACATTTATGTGTGGGTTACATAAGGAAGCATAAATGGGAATTACTGTCACTGCTCCAGACATGGCAGAGGAGGCTGGAAAACAGAAGGCTGCTATGTGTCAGTTTTGTAGCAGCTCTTGCCCTCGAGTCATTTATTTTCTAACTTACCTGCTGATTTGTTGACAATGCAATCACACTTTCTATTTCTGTGAGCGTGCATATTCTTGAAACACCAAGTTTATTTAGAACAACCCAAATCTAGACCCACAGAAAAACACAACAGCCCCAAATGAAAACAAAAGCATCTCTTTTTGCATCCTTCCTACCCTAACACCACTATAAGCTGCACCAGGATCTCCGTGATGCCTTATAACTGTTACAAATTCTACCTTTACACCCTGCCTTATGTCAGTACACAAAGCAAGGAAAGCCAAATTTGCCAGGGGAAGATCCCCCTTGTTCTGTCTCCCTAGGTCTGTGACCTATGTGAGCACAAGCAATGTCACCACAATCACATTTCACAGCTCATTGCAGCTGCATTTTCTATCTCACTGTGCTGCAAAGTTTTTCTACAGAGCATAAAACCACAAAAACTGCAGCAGAGTTATCCTGCTGGCACCTCTCTCCAGTTCTCACTGCCAGTGTGCCAAAAGCTTCCCCTCCCAACATCCTGATTCCGAAATTTGCTTTTAAGCACACCTTGGTTTTGGTTATTAGTAATAACTTGGCATATAAAAGGATGGATCTCCAAGCAATTAATCTGACCAGGAACAGGAAGGATTTGAGCTCCCACACAGGAACTCCAGATAAAATATACTCTCTAATTCTCTACAGAATGACCAGCTGACTGAGACAAACCCCACAGCTATTAAATAAGGAGTGTTTTTGTTTGTATGAGGATGCAAGATCAGACCTTGTCATCAAAATGTTCCTTCCTTCAGACTTCAGTGATGTGAGCACATTTAAACAAGCAGCCATTCCTAATTTCTGATCTTTTAAACAGCTTAAAGATCTGCGAGATGATTCTCTGTGAACAGACAGCAGAACTTATATTTCTCTTCATGTTGTATTAGTTGTGTTTATTCAGTGAAGTGGTAGGTTTTCTTTCCTAGGTGTACTAGAAACTCTTCCAAGAGAAGTTGAAGAATGACATAACCATTTATCAGCAAGAAGAAAATCCCAGCAAAAATAAAAAAAACCATTTAAAATTACTGGCTATATTACATATCTCAAACACTGAGGTATGTTTCATGGATGCAAATGCCTGCATTTCAGTAAAAGAAATTACAGCAACATCATCACCCAGGCAGCTAAAATGAAATGACAAATGCTAACAAACTTAAAACTCACAATAATAAATAGTGGCAAGATAATTCAATAGTGCAACAAAATCTTTTTCCTCTTGGATCACCAACAGGAGTTCATTTTTATATCAAAAATCCTTATAAGCAAATGGCCAAATGAAATCTTTAACACTAGGACAGTTAAAGCCCACACACTGATGTGTGTGTTCTCCCTCAAAAGCACAACTTCTAGCAATCCTCTTGTCTAAACACTGGTAAGCAGCAGGGGTGTGGATTTAAGGTGATGTGGATCTCATCTGGAGGACAGAGTAACAAAACACACTAATTCTTGAAGTCAAAACTTAATCTCACTAACTTATTCCTTTGTCTTCAGGGAGGGAAATGAATTCAGCATATCCTTTCAGGCTGGGGTTTTTTGGTTGTTTTTCTTTCACTAACCCTTCCCACGTCCTGCCTGCCAGCCCATTGTCCACAGCATTGGGTTACTGCAGACACAGAGGGGATGTGTTTTCAGTGAAGACAAATATGGCCAAAGGCTTGGCCGAGCTCACAGAGCCACATCCCACCGGGGGCAAACACCGACAGTGAACCCTGAGAGATGCCAAACCCTGCAGGACCTGGCACAGCTCAGATGTCAGGGACAGTGGGAAGCCTCAGTGTCACTGCTCCATGCTCACAACTGCAGAGCTTTTACAGGTCATCTGGATGAGCGCGAAGATCAGTGTTTACAGAGCCATTGTGCTGTCTACTCTCTTATATGGATCCGAATCATGGGTCACCACCTGCGACTCCTAGAACACCTCCATCAACACTGTGTCCATACAATCCTAAACATCCACTGGTCAGACTGTGTGACCAATACATCTGTTCTAGAACAAGCACCTTAAACCATCTTGTCTGGGAGCTGCTTTATGCTGATGACGCTGCCCTTGTCGCCCACACAGAAGCGGTTCTGCAGCGTTTAACATCCTGCTTTGCATATGCTGCTGAGCTCTCTGGGCTGGAAGTCAGCTTAAAGAAGACAGAAGTTCTCTATCAACCTGCACCTCTGGAAGTCTTCCATCATCCCCATATCACCATTGGCGAATCAGAGCTCAAATCAGTCCAGCAGTTTAATTACCTAGGCAGCCTCATCTCCTCGGATGGTAAGACTGACGGGGAGATAGACAACAGATTAGCAAAGGCATACAGTGCTTTTGGAAAGCTTTATCAAAGAGTTTGGCGAAATAAATACCTGAAGAAAAGCACAAAGATCAGTGTTTACAGAGCCATAGGGCTGTCTACTCTCTTATATGGATCCGAATCATGGGTCATTTACCACCACCACCTGTGACTCCTAGAACACTTCCATCAATGCTGTCTCTGTACAATCCTAAACATCCACTGCTCAGATTATGTGACCAATCCATCTGTTCTAGAACAAGCAGCAGTCACAAGCATTGAGGCCATGTTGCTGACAACACAGCTGTGCTGGGCAGGGCACGTCTCCAGGATGAAGGACCAATCACCCCCTCCCTAAAATCTTGCTTTATGGTGAACTTGCCACCGGCTGCCCCAAGAGAGGAGCCCCAAAGAGGAGATACAAGGACTGCTTGAAACAACATCTCAGTCTTGGCCATATTGATCACCATAACTGGTCTACTCTGGCCTCCAACCGGGAGGTCTGGAGACACACCATCTATAACACTGCTGATGCTTTTGAGAAAGCACGCAGGATCATCCTTGAGGAGAAAAGGCAATGCAGAAAGAATTGTGTCTTGTAGAATTTACCACCTAAGGAGTCTTTCTGCTGTGCCTTTTGCAACCAGACGTGCCTGTCTTGTATTGGCCTTCTTAGCCACCAATGTGCTTGTAAAAACCTGGCTAGAGCCCTTCCCAAATCTTTGTTTGCGAAGCCCAGCCATGATGATGGATAAGCGCAAGTAGTCATTCTGTGATGTAAAATAATAATAATAATAATAATAATAATAATAATAATAATAATCCTCCCACCAAATATTTGCATTAGGTCAAATCAGTGCAGCATCCAGCAATGAAAGTGTACTGCAAAAACTGGTTCCAACGGTTTGCCCAAAAAGTATTAGTGGGAGCTTTATCATCACACGTATTACTGTTTGATTGAGCTTTGAACTGCAGTAAATAACCATCAGCTTTCAGCAAAAGTAGAATATCTCATCTTAGTGGAATATCCAGTAGCTCATTTTATCCTTTTTTTCCCCCTAAATATAATATGGAAAATTATTTAGTGACCTGAGAAAGTATTTTGATTTCTGGTCTTTGCCTCTTAACTGAATCACATGTAAAAATATGTGATTACACAATAAAAATAATCTTTAAAGTAATCTGTTCAGGTCTTCCAGGAAGTTACAATATTTAAAATTTGTCTCAATCTCAGCTTTCTTAATTTGTTTACATTTAATTTCTGAGAAGACTAGCTTTGGACAAATGAACTGAAAAACAAACCCACAATTTTTCACTGTAATAGCTTTGGCACAAAAACTTCCCGATATCAACTTCTGCTTATTAAAAGAACTCTCCAGACTCTGTGTCGTGTGGTCCCCAGCACACTCGGGCTGCCATTGTGGATAAACCATGTGAAGACTGAGATTAAAGGCCTGGTTGTGTAAACACTGATAGATATTAAGGCTTAAACACAAACATGTTGACTCTGCAGTTTTCTCAACTGGGATTGTGCTGAAAAGTGTAAGAGAGGGAGGACAGGATGAAATATCTGTCAAAGACCAATTGCATCATACATGTATGATTATTTTGATTTTCAAAGACATATTTAATGTATTTACTATAGAGGCAAAAAGTAAAGAGAACATAATTTGGCAGACAGAAGTCTGCATGAGAAGGGTCTGCTACCTTCAAAGGCATGCACAGCCAAAGGTAATGAGATCCCTGCATTCTTTGTATTACAAAAAATGTGGAAATTGTTTTGCTGATGTTTTCTCTTTTAAGTTCCCCCGAGAGCGTGGATAATAAATAACTGACAATAACAGATTTCATACTGTCGCTTGGAAACCACTTTCTCTTTGGAGAATTGATTTTTAGTAACAACACTGATGACACGTGGCAGAAGTTGTAGCTGATACCAGAGTTTTGTGGGCTATAATAAATCAAATCAATCTGGAAGCTTCCAAATGCAGGGAGCAGAGGCAGAGGTTCCCACTTGGGCTTCATTTCACTGCTCTGTGCAAGACAGTGGGGGGGTTTCTCCCTTGAAGGAGGAAGACATTTTTTCAGTTTGACTAGCAAATCATTTAAAAAAGCCAAAAGATAACAGTTGTTATTAAAATACTGCCCTTTGTTTCTGTCCATATGTGGCCTGCAAGGACAGAAGTGAAAAGACAAATTGTAGCTATTGGAAAGAGGGAGGCATGGTTTATCTACACTGTAATTCGGGGGAGAGAGCCCCACACTAGCTTTAATCAAGCTAGCTTGCATATCAGAAGCAGGCCAGAAGACAGCTCCATATGGAATAATTTATTTGGCCATGAAACAGAGTATATTAATCTGTGGCTGAATTTCAGGTCTCATGTAACAGCTCAAATGTGACCATCCTGGTGCGCTAGAAATCAGGCTCCCAAGCCAAACTTAAAGCAACAAATCCAAATCACGTATCTTTCTTGTTTTTACTAATGAAAACTGGGAATCCAGAGCTGCCTTGTAATTTAGGAGGCTGAAACTTAGATATCTATTTTGCCACTGAAACCACAGTGAAAGGTCTCGGCCAAGCAGCGCTGCCACAGTCGCAGGGCTGCCCATGCCAACCCTCTGATTCCACATTTATGGAGTCACTGCACAGCACCCATTGCTCTTTTAATTAACACATGCTTCTGCACGTGAATGACATCTAACTTTTTCGAAAAAAAACCCCAAGAAAATATTAATGTGAAGTTTCAAAGCACTCAGGACATATTCTTCAACTCCTCTGTCCTGACCTTTCAGTGTTCAAATACCATTCTCCTTCAGCACATTGAATAATTTCAGCACACATAAGCTATTTAATTTATTCCCTTGAGTTACTGTGCAAGTTGTGGTGACTCACTCATGTTTCTGGGCCACGAGAAGGAAGGAAGGTGGCTTCTCCACCTTGTCCTTACAGCTTCACATGGGGCACATCCACCAAAGCAACTGAGCAAACCCAGTTTGGGGTTTGTTTCTGATGGCAAGAGGGAGGCAGTAAATACAACATGGAAGCAGGAATCAGTTCAGTAGATGCCTAAGGAAAGTTGGGAAGGGGCTGCTTGCTGAAAGGAACAGGCCCACACTCTAGAGACAATGTAAAGATGACTTCCAGAAGAGATTGTAAGCAAATTGTTCAATCCAGAAAGCTGCTGAAAGCAGCTACACTGGAAAGAAAGAGTGCAGAAAAGGACCTCCCAAGAAATAACCCACACGTGGATATCTCTGGGTGTGCCACAGTCAATATGAGGTGAAATTTCATTCAAAACTCAAAAATATTTCAGACAGGCATCTCAACACCACTGGTGCCCAGCCACTGACTTACTCAGTGTTTTAGTGTGGGGGCTTCTAACTTCCCCTCAAATTGCATTCTTTTATGTAAAACCCTGCCTGCATAAATCTCAATCAATAGGAAATATTCTGAAAATGCCCAGGTTTTCCATGAAGACACTCTTGCTGAAGCATCCAGTGGAAACTTACACTCTGAAAGATGATCAAGTTTTTACAGACAAAGAGAAAAGCCCTTTCCTGAGGGGCAGCAAAACACTGTTCAAGCAGAAGAGACAAGACTCTGTGCAGCCTTTTGGAGGCCTGTTTTCATGATAGCTCCTATGCCTGAACTATCAGAGAAAAGTCATTCATCCTGCAAATATGCAAATTGCCTCACTAAAAGTTTATCACTTACCCGCTCTAGTCATTACTGGACATACTGCACCTAAGTGCAAGTACACTGGAGCTCACTGTGTGAAAGTATTCATGAATCCTGGATCAAGTGAAAGCCACCTGCTCATTAAAACTCTCCCTGCCATCAAGTGCATCCTAATAAGCTGCAGTTCAGCTCATGGGAGGATTGGAACTTACAGCACTCGCAGGGAGCGGAGCCCGTTGAAGGCGTGGACGGGGATGCAGCGAAGTCTGTTGTAACTCAGGATGCTGGAGAAGGAGAGAGCAGAGTTACAACACTGCATGTCTTTGATCATTTCACTTCCAATTCAACCACAGAGAAGCATGGAAAGCCACACATTTAACTAACAAGATATACAGTAATTGCTCAACACCAAGATGGTGTCTGAAAAGCAATTAAAACTGATACAAAACTTAGGGCCACTTACAGGGTTGATAACTGGGTCATGTTGCTGAAGGTGTGATTGGCCAACACACTGATGCTGTTGTTGCTCAAATCACTGAGGAAACATACAGAGAAAATATCATTTACATGTATGAATTGAGATATAAGGCTTTTTTAAAGGATCACATAATATATGAGCAGAGAAATGCTTGAAGCAATTGAAAAGTCACATTTTATCAACTGTTGTATTTTTTAACCAACTCTGAATAAGGTCTAAAGGAAAAGCAGATCAGACTCCCCTGAAAAGCCTCAGACTCAGAATATTAAGACTTATTTCCAGCATATAACATTCAATGAAGAAGGATAAATCAATAAAGGATACAAGCAGTGCTGAATATTTACTGTCCCCACTTGCTTTGCAATCTATTCCAGGCACACAATTTCCACATGCTCTTCACGCTGACAGCTACTAGAACAAAATTTCATTTTTCATTTTAAAAAGTCCTTTTAGGCTCAACCAGAACATTTTGTTTTGTTGTTGGTCTGCCTTGAAAAAAACCCCAAAATTAGAGATGTTGCCAAATAAAAAGCTCTCTCAAATAGAGGATTCCAGTTTTTCCTCCATGTTGTTTTTGTCTGAGATTGTTCTGCCCGTTTGACTTGAGTACCTGTGCAGCTGATTCCAACAGCATTTGAAAATTTCTGATAAATGATTTGGGCAGGGAATCTCACTCCTGTGTATTTCAGGCAGCACTTTACTGAACACAGTCTAGCTGTCTCTGTCTCGGTGACACTTCATAGCACAAACAGCTATGCAAATTATCACTGCCTTAGCATTATAAATACTGCCTCACCTAGCACAAATTAATGCATCTCCTCTGTTAATGACCTTTACAGCTTTGCACAGATAAATCTGCCAAGTGAAACTGCAGCAGCCTGGGTGAGTTGAGTCCTCTCACAGAGGTTGTGAGCTCCTGCAGAGCAAGGGGCTTCTCAGGCACCTCACTCTTTATGAACACTTACTGGCAGCAGTGGCCACTGTGAAATTCTTTCCAAATTCAAATTACAGAAGGTTTGGGGGGTTTTGTGGGGCTTTTTTTCACCCCTCCAAAAACTAATTATTTATGTTCCACCCACAGCACAGCGCAGAAAGAGTCATGTAATTTTCTTGTCATTGAAACCACGTGTTTCTTACATCAGTGTCAGGTGTCTGAAGGCAGAGAGCCCCTTCGGCACAGCAGGCAGATGATTTCCTTCCAAGTATCTGAAAAAAGTCAGATTTGACAATTACACAAACACATACTAACAAGAACTTGTGTCACTCAATCGGCACCATGAATGAGGAAAATATAAAGTCAGTCACTAATGAAATTACCTTTGATTCATTGCTTTGGAACTCTAGCAGTTTTCCCTTTATAAGTGAATTACCCCATATGCAAAGCACGACAGCAGCTTATTGATTTATTTTATTTGTTTTAAGACTTGGAAGCGAATAAAGGATCTCTGGCCTACAGCAAACAGAAATGACCATTTGGTTCTCCTATGACAGCAGCTGAAGGAAGGGAGAAAAATTGCATGGCTTGTGCCCTGAACTTAAAGTTACCTTTAACAAGTTCGTGTAACAGCACTGACTGTTAGGGAAGGTTTGCCTTGTGAGGGTAAGTTCCTTGTACAGCCAGAATGGGAAGAGGAGCTGCACTGCCACATCTCTGTGCTGCAAAACGTCCCACTTATTCCACTGTCAACAGAAACATCCACATCTATCACAGCAATTCTGACTATACACCCTCCTCACCTTTCCTGTTCACAGTGTGCTGGTACAGGAAGAAAATTTGGTGTAAATTCAAGACCAAAGACCAAGCTCTCTTTGAATAGAGGTTCCTCCTACAGGCACTAAGTGTGTTTCATAAAATATCTTGGGTTTCCAGCATGAAAGTTGTTTGAGACACCATTGATTATGTCTCTATGTATTTACATGCACAGTAGGGCTAAAGTCTTGGGGATAATCCCACGTCCTCACACAGGCACACAGTACCTGCATTTTGCAGTTTTTCTCCACTGAAGAAACAGGATCAGTGAGTAACCAAGAGAAAAACCCTGAACAAATACAATACTTTCAAAAAGTTTGCCCAGAAGAGAGCTGGGTACTCCAGATTCCACAGCTGACCTGTGGTAGCAATTGGGTGTGGGGGGTTTCTGTTTATTACAATAAACTAGAGACAGAGCTGGAGTTTTTTCCTTAACTTTGGCTTTTAGGTGAAACTGCATCCCTGGAGGATACCAAAGGGATAAGTCTCCAGTGGAAAGTGACTGCTGTGGTGCCATGGCACTGCCAAGGGCATCCTCCAGACATCTGCCAGAAGCCACATCTACCTGGGAAACAAATCCAGCCTTCTCAGAAGGCACCGTGTAGGAGGAAGGGATTTTTCCCTCCACAGGTGGGGATAAAAGATGAAATGATATTTCCCTTCCTTGCAAGATACTTTGTGGGATTTTTTCCAAGATAGACAGACAATGCAATTGATGTGGCATGTTCTGAAATATAATCAAGTGTAGCCAGGAAATGCAGCCCACAGACATCAGAACACTTAATGTGCTGCCTCTGCTGCTGAAAACAGAATCTGATAATTATGTTAAGAATTTTTATTCCACACATACAATTTCCTTTTCTCTGGCAACAGACCTCCTTATTCTACTTTTACTACAGCAAACAACAATTATAATAGATTATTATTGTGCTGTATGTTCCCTCTCTACATTAACTGTAACAACACAGAGATACTTGTGTAAACTAAATCCAAGAAAATTTTCCCACAAACTTTATTTTTACATAATTTAAAAATAAAAGCCTATAAACACTAACAGAATTTCTTGCATAATACATTTTATAACTGTCACATCATTCCCCCCCCCTTCTATTTCAGCATAACGCCCTCTCACCCTTTGCTGCTGCTTCAGACCTCTTTTTAACTGAACTTCTCCAACTGAACTACTCCAACCAGCCTCACAGTTATCCTCCTGCACAGGATGCCATCAGGCAGAGTTACCTTAGCCCATGCACTGCAGCTCTCCTAATTCCTGCCCGGATTAGGCTGGATGAGGCAGAACTACTGGCTTCTGGACTTTTTCACCAAAAGCAAATTTCTTTCTCAATGAAAAAAGCCTACTGAACAAATTAATCTCTCCATTGACAATGATCTGAGTGATAGAGTTGCACATCCAACAGTTAAAAGCAGGGACAGCTGCTCTGCTGACAAAGATTGCCACCAACCAGAGTATGGTTTAGTTGTGCCACGCTCACACCTCCCATGGACATCCACAGTCAGCAAGTGTAAAGTCACTTGCTCCATTTTGGCTAAATTTGTCATAGATTATTTTGAAAACGGAGTTTTTTGGTGAACTCACACCATAAATTGTTATGTAGATCCTCAGAATTCAGCCCCATGTGTTACTGTTTAAACGGGGCAAGCCACGTCTCATTCCCCCAGTCACGCTCTGCTATGGACGCAGCGAGTCACTGGGAGCCTGTTCCTTCTCCTTCATCCCAGAAAATCACAAATCCCAAACCCATGCAAGAGGATAGGTCAAGGTTCCAGCCTTTATTTCAAATGTAAAATCCAAAGGATTTCCAAAGGAAATCAAAAGCAGGTCATGTATTATGTATTTGGAAGTTATATATGACTTTCGTTTAAGAAAGGAGACTCAGCTTTTGCAATATGTTGAAATCTTCAGAAACATATTTTCAGGATATTCTCTTGTTGATCTCAATAAGAAACAGCCTGCAATTTAAACAAACTGATGGTAGTGAGCCAAGGTTTTTTCCCTCCTATTTTGCTTTCTGCTGCAATCAAAAGTCAAGGGTGCACATTTTAATCCAGTTCTTTATGACTCAGACTAACACAGACATGCAGACCCCTGGAGTTAAACTCCTACAGAAGATCTGCTTTGAATAGCTCTGGATTTGCACTGCAGCAATTTGATGGTTATATAAATGTGCTAGCAGAAAACTGCAATACTTATATCAGTGGTATAGTTTCTGAACAAACACAATTTTACTCAGAAAAAGTACCAATAACACACTTTTCGTGCACACATAAGAACAATTCACCACTGTTAAACCTCTCACCACATTATCCAAAGCATGGTAGCAGTTTCTAAGCATTTCATTCTGAAAGCACATTTAAATGCAGGGAATTTGAAAAAAAACCCCAAAAAACAACAGAGTTTTTAGGGCATAAGAGCTTGCCAAGAATCAGGAGGATCTGAGCTGCAATATTTGAAGAAACCAATGGCTGCAAGTGAAGGTCAGGCCTCTGTCAGAGCTGGGGGGTGCAGGGGCAGCATCTCCTCACCTTGCTGGGCTGAACATGATGGATGGGGGCTGCAAAAGGGCTGGAAGCTGAACACAGTGAGTAACAGAATTATCCCTGAGGGTGAATGGGCAGAGAGAGTTACAAAACTTGTATATGGGTACATATACACAAATAAAATGCCATATATGAAGCTAGAGACCCCCTGCCCAAACAAAACAAAATATCTGTAAAAGAGGGATGTAGAGGGAAAATTACATTTTAAATTCTTTTCAGTCCTTAGCCAAAGGAAGATGATGTCCATGGCATCTGATATGCAAAGAAATTCTGGTATGAATGAAAAATCTATGTTTAATTTTAATGCTTGGAGTCAATTTATTAATATACAGAGTCAAGAGTGAGTGTCAGTTGCCTTAATACAGACACTGACTAGTATCCAAAACAACCTCATTTGCTTCCTGAAGTTTTTAGACTCTAGTTTAAATATCAGATTGGAAATTGGTTTTTTTACCCTGTGAATGCTGCTGGGAATCCTCAAGTCTCAATGATGACAACAAGAAATTACCAAAGAAAAAATTGAAAAAAACAAAACAAAACAAAGCAAAAAGCCCACCAAAATACGTAGAAAGCCTTTCTCATAGAAAGCTTTCTCATAGAAAGCCACCTCCCTCCTACCTGGAAAAGCTTCTTGGAAAACATGGTTGGAGATGGGTAAGTGGCCAGGATGGCTGGCACTGTGGGAATGGCCCCAGGGCTCATCCAGCACCTTTCACACACACTAACATTGCACATAAAAAATTTAAAGCTATGCATAAAAGATGACAGCTGTTCTTTTTCCAACTGGTCTATTTTTGTACTGAAACCACTTGGATTGGAGGTGATATAACCAGCACAAGGTGCCAAAGCATCATGTAACAATTTGAATCACTTGGACTCCTTTTTGTACTGAAATGTCTACTCAGCCATAAAGTCAAGCTCACAGTGGCAATCTGTGCTAAGAGAAAAAACTGGAGAGAGAGAAATCAGTTCTCAGGCAGTAATTGAAAAGGCACAAAGCCTTCCCTTTAATTTTTGTATTTATTTCATATAAAATGCTACATCACACACAAAAAGATGATGCTTGACAATCTTATGAAGCTGTAAAATTAAGTTATAGTCTGAAATTTTTTGATGCAGATACCAAATATCCTAACATTTTGAGTCAAGTTTAAGGTCCTAAAAACAGTGGTCTAGAAAAGAATTGGGCTGTGAAAGATGAAGCATCCACAAAGCATGACTTTTAGGAGCTTCAATTACAGTTTCTCGAGAAGAATCAAAATTCAAGTGTGGATCTGGGTATGAATCTGGACCTTGAACTTTCTTAAGTTGTGGCAAATTTGGACTCCAGATTTTGCTGTATTTGCTGTACAGATCACAACCTATGTGTCTGACACACAGAAACACGGGTGTATTTGAGGAAAGGGAAGGTCCTAAAGTTAAACATACTTTTAGTCTCTATTAGTGCTAATGCCACATTTCTCGTATTTACTCAAACTTTACCAGTCATTGAACATATTATTTGATAGTATTGTTACCATTTACTTTTTCTAAACTGTCATATTTGAAATGCAGATTAAGTCCTGTATTTCATCTGTAACTAAAATATCCTCTACAGTGCTACCCCTTCTCTCAACGGGAGAATCCCCCTCCACAGAGAATTAAGCAGGGTGTAAAACTTCTTGTGACACAGGACCAGGTAAGCCCAAGCTTTGATCTAAATTGTTTCTCTCCTTTATTATCACAGGAAAATTCACTGAAGCTCGTGCTAAGGGTCAGTGTGTAAAACAGTGGATTTCCAGACAAGCAAGAGCATTTGCATTCTCAAGCAGATGATTTTCATCAGATATCTCACTCCAGAGCCTCCCTTTGATCAGCAGCAACACAGGCAAACTGAAAAATAGTACTAAACTCTTACAACATTCTACATGTATCATAACTAACTGCTCTGAGAATATTTATGGCACCAATTTGCATGGCCCAGCACAAGCCACTGTTTTTAGTCACAAGTCAAAAGAAATCACAAGAGCCTCTGGAGATGGAGAGGAAGGTTGAGATTGGTGGTAAATACCTCCAGGTAGACATGAAAACTGATGTGTCAAGCACAGGAACCTACCACAAAGAACAAGAAACAGAAACAGGAGAGGGAAGGTTTGTGAGGAGAGAAAGAGGAATGGTCAAAGTAACGCAAATATTAGTATGTAGTAATATAAATTGAAAGAAAAACAATCACTAACAATGATCTATGGATGCAGGTTTTCCTAACAATCCCACCAGTGCAATCCTATAGCTCAGTTTCATGACAACATTTGGAGCCTAGAGATGACATGATGAGTACATATTTATTCTAAAACACACCACACTCATTATGTTACAGCTTGTGCACACGCCGTCCACATAATTGCCTCCAATGTTTTTCCCCAGTGCAAAATATTATTTGCTGTAGGTCCATAAAAGCAGCTGGATGCTGTCAGATAAGACTTTATTAGAAATAGACTATACTTTTGTGGAAGAAAAGAAAAAAAACCTAGTGTTCACACACTGAGGTAATACATAAAAGGAAAAAGAGCATGGGAAACTTGGTTCAAACAGATTTGGGAAAAAAAGTCGAAGAAAAGGAAAGCCTAAAACACTAAGCAGCAGTGAGGTGAAGTTCCAAACCAGCTCACTGCATGAACGTTTTACTTCTGAACATCTGGGCCAGAAAACTGAGTATGGCCAAAAAACCCAAGGCTTCTCTTCAGGGCAAACAGGGGGGGAAAAAATGCAGGCAGTTTGTAAATATACAGCAAAGGGATTTTCAAGAAACAACAAATTATTTTCATATTCCTGAGAAGCTGGAAGAAAGCTTGCCCACGATGATGGGGTTTTGTGAAGGACTAAATGGGAATTAGAAATTTCTTGCATCATCATTCCTCTAAAAAGTCAGGAGACTTAGTGATCTTTTCAACTCTGTTCTAGATGGAAGCCTTCCCTGCCAAGGTAATCCCTCCTCCCAAGGGTGGTACAAACCAAACATAGGGATGTCTCCTGTCATTCCAAGCTCTAAATATGAAGGAGATAATGGTTTTCACATGTCTTGTCTACATATACATCCAAACCAGAAACTCTGGAAGAAAGTTGGAAGGAGTGAGCCTGTGTCTCCAGTCCACCATGCAATAAAACTTTGCTGGTGATCTTTTTTGCTGAGCTTAGGTACAGTGAAATTTGACCCAGAAAGGGTAACATTTTCCCTGTGTGCCTGTGCAAGAGATATGTTCAGTTTTGCACATTGCTATTTAATAGCTGTTACAAGGAAAGGATTCCTGTTTTAAGACTATTTTAAGACCTCTAAAAGAATTTAAAAGAACTTCTGAGAAGGCTGTATTCAGCCACAACAGACTGGTTTAACTAGATACGTGGCAGCTCTTTTCCCTTAAGCCATGTTGTATAAAACCACTGCAGTTAAATAAAAAAGCACTGGAATTCATGTGCCTGGTAAATGAACACGTCAATAGTGGAAGTTTACGAATGTCAGGGTGGTGCATTCAGAAAAGCTGCACTAAAATGCTCCCCTGAATCCTATCCCTGCTCAGGTCTCCTGCAGGGAGGGGGCTGTGGGCTGCCAGGACAAGAGGGTTTTCATGTCCTTGTTGTCCCCTTGTCACCACCTCTGTCCTCAGTGACCGTGGGATTGGGCGAGTGCCTGGTGGGAGCACAGGGAGCCCAGGACACTGTCCAGAGGTCTTGGATGTGGGAGTGAGGAAGGAGAGTGGGGGCAGTGGTAACATGGGGAGGGTTTTTAGTGTCTCTGAGCACCTCTGAGGGCTGTACCAGTGAGGAAGGTGAAGGCAGCCCTGCCCTGGAGGCTGCTGGGGCTCCCTCTAGACATCCAACAGCACTGAGATCTTCTGCAACAGGTACCTTAGGAGCATTCTGGTTTCAAGTGCTAAACAGACATCCACTGCCACCACAGAAACAAAACAGCTTCCAGAGGATACTCCAGGCTTAGGAGACAGTTCAAGGGATCTAGGAGTGCCCTAAGGAAATGGGGGTATTTTACTTATTTATTTTATTGAGTGTTAATATATTGAAAAAGATAACTCTCTTTCACCCTGTGCCCAGAAAGTTAATGGGTTCTCTCTGCCAGGTTCCAGCTGCCCTGGAGATGAGGGAAGAGGTGGAGTTGCACAGGAGATACTGTTTATCACAGCAACAATGGCAATTCTCAAACACAGAACAATTAAAATGTGTAAGTTCACACTGGTAACTTGGAACCTGCACGATATAGTCCTTTCTAGATGATGGGCAACATCTTTATCTCAATCTGGATGCGGAAGAGAGGGAAGTAAGATTGATTATTTGTTATTTACGTATTTCATTCTTGTCACAGTTTCCATGAACACATAAAATTTCTTGCTTCAGTACCTGCAGCCCATCTTTTGGTATAGATACAAATAAGGAGCTCAATTTTTGTTGGTTGAGAGTGAGATCAGGATTGAATTTTGAGACAGCTGGGACAGATTCAAGGTTATATTTTCAGAACATGAAATATTCAGAGCCAGGCAGTCCATGGCTGACAGTGTTCTGCTGACACATTTCTGGATGGAAAGCAGAAAGCTGCACTAGAGTTTTGCACAGCCAAGAGGTTCCTACTGAAGAAGACAGTCACGTAAACTCCTATGAACTCAAACTGCTCAGTTCCAGGCTATTGCCTCATTTGCCAAGAAACAGTTAAGAAATGTAGCAGTTTTCAAGAATGTGAGATTAATTTCACTCTTTTTGTGAAAGTTACGTTGTCAGTGTATCAGATAATATCAGTAAAACTCAATATGCAAAATTCAAACATAAAAATTCCTCGGTGTGGCAGTGGAAATCAAAGTAACATCTGTGACATCTCAGTGTTGGCAAGTCCCATTTGAATGCAATGAAACCTGAACAAGAGCAGAGCAGAAATCACCTTGCAGGCTTCTTACCACTGATGGCAATATATAAGAGAACACAGGCCAAGATGTATTCATTAATGCAAAATTTCCATGTTAATTTGAGTTGCCACAAGCACATCCAGTACCCTTCTCATTCAGCAACAATATTTGACTACAAGACTGGTAAAAACAGTGTAAACCCCATTGTCCCACTGTGAAGGGAGTAAAAATAATCCTAGATACTAGAAAATAGCAGAATCAGATTTTAATTCATTATAAAATTCACTGAACATACAACTAACTCAACCAATTATTTTCACATAGCAAGGTTGATGAGATTGTAACAAGTTTCAGTAACGACTCACCTGGGATAGATTTGAATATGGGCCTAAAGGGGAAAAGCTCAGTATTTCTACTGCCAACTGTTTAAAAGCCAAGCAGTTCCACCAGTTTTTTTTTCTTTCCATGGAAAGAAAATCCAGTATAAAGTAGATGAAAAGACAACAAGGAAGATTGTTCTCAACTAGGATGAATTTACTTTACCATATAATCTAATTGTCTGTTATTTTAGCCATTTCATGAGGTTTGGAGAAAGAATTCCTTGTTTTGATCACCATTTTTTTTAATCTCCTCAGAGGATAATTAGCTCACAGCTGCGTAACTCAGGAACTTATTTCCATCATCCCTTCAAACTGCCCGTTGTGAGCTTGGGCTTTGCAGAAGTGCTACAGGATTACTTGATACTAATATATGCATTTGTTCCCTACACCCAGAATTAATGGGTACAAGGAGAGATAAACCCTGTTCCCATTACAGAGCAATTTATTCAGTCAAGGGACAAATAAGTACAGAAATTACAGTCAGAACATATGGGAAGCACCAAAGCACAAAATCACTGAAGTCAAAGGCAAACCCCCCAGGGACCTCCAAAGCCTCCCTAGGATGTAATTTCATGAACTTCTGATGAAAGGGGTGAGGTAAAAGGTAACTCACAGCTCAGTCACATCCTTGGGAATTCCTTTGGGCAGCATCCGCAGCCCTTTGTTGCTGCAGCGAACCACGGAGTCCACACAGGTACACTGGGAAGGACAAGGAGGTGAAAGCAAGCAGCTGCTCTCATCATTACCTGCACAGGGAGAGAGGTGGAATATGGGGAAGTGAGTTTTCCAGCCCCAATCAGCCCCTTTGGAGATAAAACCGTTGACAAGGACCAAGAAGGGACACCCCTGAATCCATGGGAACAATTGTGATATTTTAAAGTACATCCAGCTCTTTGGGTCAGCTTTCATACAGGTTCTTCAGGCAACATGACCAGTTCATAAACTGAATAGCCATACTTTTAAGGAGAATCTACTTTGTAATTCTGCAAACTGCAGCCCAATCAGTCGTGTGAATCCCAAATCCTTCTCCCACCCACAATGTCCCAGAGGAAATGGAGAACTTAACCATTAATTTAATGAACTACAATGAATTTAAGACCATCATTTAAGATGCCCTTAAATTCATCTAGACACATGATATTCACTACCTACCCTGCTTTAGGAAGAGTTTTTTAAAATTCAGGTTTTAGATGTTTATTTTTTATTTTTTGAAGTCAGCCTGGCACTTTGTTTATCATCTGAATTGTAAAGCCTCATTGTTTTTGACAACGATAGCCAGGCAAACAAACACGTGAAGCAGAATACTCCCAACTGCTGGCAATCCATCTGTGCACACATAAAAATATCTACTTTCTCCAAAAGCGGTTCCAAAGGTCCATAAACAGCAGATTAAATCTTTAAATTGAAGAACAATAGGGTTTCTGCAGAAGAAACCAGCTCTTTGAAGCTAAGAACATTAAAGCATGGATTTTCCCCAAAAGCAACAGGCTTTGCAAAACATAAGGCACATGCACGGTGCAGGATCACGATGCACACGAAAGGAAACACTTAGTGGCACATTCCTGGGATGACAGGGAGAGGAACCACACGACTGTGTGTGAGCACAGGCAGCCCGGGCTGCCCAGCACAGACACAGAGCACACAGCCTGCCCTTGTGTGCTGCCTGGCTCTGCCTTTTAACTGATGCGAGGACTAATTGAGGCAGATCTGTTCCTTTCTTCTCTCTGCTGGAGGCACCCACAAGCACTGAGATTAAAGAATAAGACTGGAAGCCCTGATATAAGATAACAGGATGACCCTGAACTGCACGGGTAGGGAGTCATTTGCATTCAGAGGGCTGGGGAGGCACCACCAACCTACAGAGGAATAGGGAAGGCTTTTTTTTTTTTTAACTTTTCTCCCCAGCTGAGCTTAATGACTGGAAATAAAATTCAAAGTCCTTCACAAACCTGCAGAAAGAGCACGTTTTTTCAGCATATTTAATTTTCCCCTGTGTTCTGCATTTCACACCCTGCCACCACCTACCTTCCATTCCCCAGGGCTCTGAGTGACTGAATGACAGAGAAAGATCCCAAGTGTGGAATGACATCTTGTGCACAAGGATTTTTCTTTTTTTCTCCCAAGTGTAAAATGTCATTTTGGGGACCGGGATTTTTTTTTTTTTTCCTCCCAAACTAAAAGTAAATGATTCTTTAATGACTAAACTTGGGTCCCTCGAGCTCTGAGCCCAAGCACCTGGGCCTGTTGCCAGATTGCTCACTAGGATAGGAATTAATTTTTACTCTTAGTAGGAAACTTCTATCACTCTTATGGTCTCTTTAGAGCTATGACTAACTGCAGCTCCAGCCTATCTGATCTTAACATACTACAAGTAAAGTTAGCAGTGCAGTCATCAGGCAATTTTCTCCTTACTATTTTCTTTAAAATCTGCTTGATCAGAAGTCAAAAAATCTACCTGGAAAATGAAACGAATGTCAGGATATTTTCTTTTCAATACAGACCCAACAAAGTATTAAGCATCACTGAGTCATTTAAAATAATACCTAAGATTTTTTTTTAATTCCCTGTATTCATACCTGTTACTGGTGACCCTGAACAGTATCCAAAACTAAAAGACTTTCCAAGCAAGCACCATTCCCACTGGTTTCAGAGTGTTAACTAAGTGTATAAATAAGGAAGTGGAAGGAAGGCCCAGGATTATACACAGGATTAGATAAAGCAGAACATTTGTCTATAGTAAATTCATTTTTATATTTAGGTGCAAATAGTATAAATTCAGTAACTGGAAACCAAGAATAAAAATAAACTCCTGATAGAGAACAATGATCATCTCTAGGTGGCTGTCTTGTTCATCACTAAACTGAAATGTTTATCCTGCAGCACTATTTGACATGAAGGGACATTCTCACAGAGCTGCCAACATTATCCCAAATGCCAAAATTAATTGGATTTTCTTACCGTCACAGGTGAAGTCCTGGACATCTACATCTTGGATTGGAATATCCTTTAAGAAAAAGGGTTTCAAGCAGCGTGGATTTCCACTGACAATTCTCTTCTTCCTCAACCATTTTCCCAGCCAGGCCAAATGGCAGTTACAGTTAAAGGAGTTGGCCAGCAAATTACTGCAAGGGAACAAGACACGACTGCATTACAAATGAACATGCAGAAATACTGAAATAACTGCACAAAGATGAGGGGCTCCAAATCCAAGCTCTTCCCTGCCATCTGTTTCTATGAGATCCCTCCTCCATCCTTCAGATCAGGGAAGTTCTATGTAGGTTTTATACAAGGACTAGGATTGTAATTAATATCTAAATATACAGATATATTTATAAACCAAAGTACTTACTGTTTCACTTGTAAAAAAGAGGAAGCTGACTATGTTATGTACACAGACAGGGAGAACAAACAGCCTCAGTCTGAGGTTGCCTCATGGAAGAAAAAATGAGCTGGCAGAGCTTCTGTACGGAAAATGAAGTATCTAAACTAACACTGATGGAATTTGCATGTCATGTGTGAATATGTCTGAGAGTTATTATTTTGGTAGTAGAGAAAGAAAGATGATAATGAAATTTCTTTAAATCAAGAATTTCTTTGAGATAAGAAATTTTAAGGCCCAAGAAACAGGTACTTCAAAGTAGCTGAAGACCTTGTAAGCCTTCACTGGCAACGCACTTTCACAAACCTAAAGGACTTCAGGCAAGCAATTCCTTCAGAAAACAATAGTGCTGAAGACAAGCACATATGGCTCCATTGAGGTGTGGCAGCAAGAAAACAAACCCAAACCAACTCCTAAATTCTATAGGTTCTAGGCCAACTTCACAGAGCCACAATATGGTTTACAGCTGTTCTTGGCACTGCAGAACAGCCCATTTCAATCACTGCTGTAATCACACGTGGATCTAGCACAGGCTATTGGACATTGTGGAGAAGGAGAACTGGGGGGGAGCAGAAAACTCAGCAGAATGTTCAGTAATATCAACACTGAACCTGCTTCACGCTGAGCAGGATTCAAACCTACCACAGAGAGGTGAGAAAACCAACAGGTTACACGGGAGCTTTCAGACAGAAGGTGTAGAGAAGCCCTGAAAGCACTACTCTAATTCTAGCTGCTTTCCTTCTGAATTGTTTTTCATTTTCTTTAATCCATAATGGGACCACATGCAGGATGCCTTGTGTGTTTTCCACGCTGATCTACTTTGGCATGAACAGAGAGCTCGAACCAAATGACTGAACCGCCAGCGCTGAGGGAGCCAACGAACACTTCAAAGGCCATTTGTTCCACCGGTGGAAGAGAGTGAGATCATGTTCACAGAACTACCTCCGTGACACAGATCCTGAGAATTAAATAATCCACAATTGGAAACAAACAGCAGGTGTGTATAATCAGGTTTCTGGAATACTAGCAGCTCTGAGTTGTAAAGAACATTTTGCACGTCCAGAGAGCATCTTACTGAGACATATCAAAAAGTTTCAGGAACGTTCCACCATTTAATTGAGAAAATGCTCCAAAAATAGTAATTATTCTTGTCTAGAGAGGAGAGACTGCTTTGATTTAATGTGCTACTGCTCACTAGCTGAGCAGCAGTAACTATCCACAAATCCTCATTTTCTTCTTGGCAAACACAGGTTAACATATGACCAAATTCATTAAATCCTTGGGTTAGAATTTGGATTATGCTCTTCTTAGGAAATAAGAAAGAAATAAATGGGTTGCTACACATAAAATTAATAAATAAGCAAATCTACTATTTTGGAATTCAAATAACTCTGGGCAAAAAAGAACAAATTTATCTTGTCAGCAATTGCACACGTCCTCCTGCTACTTTAGCAACATCTAAATTTCATCCTTTTCCAACTGCAGAGAAGTGATTTTTTTGCTTTAATGCAGTGTACATGTCTATACATAAATGCTCTTTCCATGGCAAATCTGTGATGCAAGTTTTGATAAAAACGTAAGATCAAGGCTCTCTTTAAAGTATCACATGGGAAAAGAAATTCCCTACCTGGCTTGAAATATAAGGTCTGGAAAAGCTGATTATATGCAAAAGCTTTACTGTCCAACCTGGCTATTCAAGTGGAGTTCTCAAATCACCAACAGTAATGTTGAGTGGACAAACTGACATAAAAATTCATCATTAATAATCAGAGTTCCTACACATAAAATAGGGATTTAGCCACTCAAAGAGAAATACAGCAATCAAACTTCTAGCAGGGATGTTGTACTATCATTAAATTCAGGAGTGTTTACTCAAGGACACAGACATATTTTTAAAATCAAGGGGAAATAGAAGTCTTGACAAATGAAATATGCATATCCTACTACAAGTGTCTCTTCAAAATTGCAAAGAAGCCATAGAATATTAACTATTTAAATGGATTCTAGTGACCTGTTAAAAAAACATGCTGAAACACATCTGGATGTTTTTGAAATTAGGCTGGAAATATATTCTGGAATTCAGATTAAGTTTATCCTAGAACACTGGCATGTTATTCTGATGAACCAGTTATCATTCTGGCATTAGCTCCATGCACCTATTAGAATAATAATCCATGGAAAACCAGTTCTGCTTGCAAATATGTCCACTTGGCTGTGTAAGGACTGAAAGACATGACTGAACTCTCTGTATGCACAAGTGCAAGCACACTTCAAATTAAGATGCTACAGTAGCTAGTTTGACTAATAAAAAATAAAAACCTGCTATTTTTTTATCAATAACTTACAAAATAGATGTTCTTCCCCTGTTGAAAACCATTAGTCAGGGTATTATTGTCAGAGCTGTCCATGTTTTGAGAATATCAATGAGGCTGAGTCACAAAGAGTAAGAACAAAAGGAGCAATATTTTTTAGTGCTGTAAGTATGCCAATATAAAAATGGAAATGGAATTTTGCATGAATTTTTGGCTCATATCAATAGATGTAAAAATAAAGTCATTACAATACCCAATTAACTCCCAGAGTGTGGGCTGAACAGGAAAAGCAGTCATACTGTCAAACTTCAGCAGTGTTGTCATCTAATATATCCACCTACAACGGAGAACTGCTGGGAAATGAACACAGCTGAATTTTGCATTTATACGTAAAAAATCACTATATCCTTAAACCAATGTCTAAAGAAGTCAAAAGAACACCTCTTCTGTCTGCAGATCAAATACACAATGAAAATGTGTCAAAGAACAAACTTTTTTCATCAAGACACAGCCAGGAACCAACAGGATTACAAGTCAGTGCCAAAGCAAGGCATTCTAATTAGCAGTAGCTTTAATTGCTCTTGCTAGCAAGTGCAATAATCTCTTTTCCACAGCCGAAAAAATAAGAAAATAGGCTACTAACAAAACATGACAAACACAATTCTATGCAAGACTTTACAGACTGACTCAGAGAGTCCCAAATACAAAAGGAATCACGGAAGGAAGCACACTGTACAAGGAGCAGGCACTGCCTGCAGCACAGTGAGAACAAGCTTTCAGCAAGTACCACTTGCCTTGACCAGTGACTTGAAAACAGTCAGTAAAAACAATCTGGTTGTTTTTCTCTTTGTGTCCATCAGTTTCAAGGAGACTTTTGAGCTTACAAAATGTAAATGGATGAAGAGTCTGTGTTCCTTATGCTGCACAGAGCTAATGCCAAAAATGATAACTGGTTTTCTGGTGAAAAGTTATAACAACAAAATGAAAAGTGTGAGCAACAAAGCAGTTGAGATTCAACACTTCTTCCCCCAAACATGATGGGGAATGCTTTCCAAAGCTGAAATGCAATAGCACCACTAGTTTATTTTGACTGGACAATTAGGCAGTATTTTCAGGACAGACAACTTCCATTAACAGCAACACCAGGGTCCCCACTCACAGCTGGAAACAAAGGGCAGACTTTCTTTCCATATTTATTAGTCTGCACTTTAGTAAAATGGACACACTACAAAAAGCATTTAAAAGTATGTAAGAAACATGGGACATATTCCAAAGGAGGAATGAGAAGTATAAGAGAATTAAAAGAAAGCTTGGGTTGGGATTTTCAAATTCACATTCAGTAAGACTTGATTGTTTTGTGTTCTTCAGTTGTTCTAAAAATCTAGGCATTAGCTAGTAGACTTCTTCTGATATTTAACTAATTTAACTGAAATCCAAGAAAGGTGTTCTCACAAAATCAGACTCTACTGAAACTAAAGCAGCTTCAGGGAGCTGAAGTGTATGATAAGCTACATCTTTCTGAATCTGCAGAGGTTGTTTTATGTGAACTTCTACTGCACATTGCACTGGGCTATGACACAGCAAAACCCACAGTCATCCTGCCTGAGGCTGCCAACCTCCAAGTGTTTTCAGCCACTCCAGCTGAAGCAATTCAAATGTTTTTCTGAATCACATCTTGTATTCCCCAAACCCGGGACGGAGTTTTCTTTCCCTAAATAAGGTTTTCGATACAAGCTGCAAGATTGTCTTTTCAAAAGGAAAGCACAGAGTAACAGCAGCATGGCATGTTCATGCCATAAAAAGATGACTTACATTGTAGACAAGGAGACCAATGTGCTGAAGGCTCCAGGGGTGATAGTGCTGATGTGATTGTCATACAGAGAAAGGAGCCTCACTGAGCTCAGGCCAGCAAAGGTGTCGTTGTTTATACAGCTGATAGAGTTGCTCCTCAGCATCCTGCAAGGATTAAAACAGGGAATTAGGAACTACTGGGAGGGGATATAATTTCAGGATAGGAGGTCCTTTGCCAAGGGCATCAACAGAGGCTTTGGAAAGCACTCTGTTTTTATTGATTGGTGAAGGAGAACACAGCCAGAGGAGGGCTAGATTCATGTAAACATGGTCTCATGAATTTAAAACACATCTCTTCCACACAACATTAGAAGCTGATGGGGAGATCCATATCTGAATGCAGTATGTAATTACAGTTATGACTAGTGACAAACTTGAAATAAAAATTAAAGGCTCAATTTAGTAAATATCAGAGTCAGGATAATCATAAGTCAGGATGTATTTCAGAATTCAATTGAGAAAGACTCCCAGAAGTGTGTGACAATAACACTATTAGTTGCATTACTTCTGCTACTATCATGGGTGTTTTTTTGTAATCCACACTGCAAGAGTATGGAAGGGAACAGCATCCTCAGCAGAAATCAAGGAATAGCTTAGGAAAGATTCTCAGACCTAGCACAAGCTCTGAAATGTCATTATCATCATTAATTGAGAAGATGAAAAACAGTAATCATCCTATAAAATGATTTTTGCTCACTGCTTGTACCAGATGAATCAGTGCTGTGTTTTGGAAGATACATCTCTCGGAGTTGTTATGGTAACAATGAACTCCACGATAGAGCCCAATTAATCTGAAAGACTGGAGTATCTTGTTTCACTCCATTGCAAAAAAGGCTCATGTGTATTTGTTACACTGCGTGCCAATCAATAGCTGGGTCTGTAAACACCACTGCACTGTTGTGATTCTCCTACTTAGGTGAGAAATTATTCAGTAATTAAAGCAGAAATCCACAAAATACATGCAGCTCATGCTGCTGTTCCAGTGAATTGATCCTCCAAATTGAGGAAGCTTAAACATCTTGGTATCAAATTCATGCAGTGGACAACAAAAATTCAGGCTCCCTGAGGAGTTTGTATTTAAATCTCAGATTGGTGTCTGCCAGTTGGGCATTTAAATGCTACATCAGTGATACCTAAAAATACCAAACAGAGATTAAACATGGCTGGGAAGAAATTCAGGGCCATCATGTTTGAGGGCTGAACACGATGTTACTGTTGCATTATTGCTCTCTGTGTACAGTCACCGTCAGAGGCACCATGGTCTCAGTAATTTGGAGATTGCAGCTGGGGTGAAACTGTGTCAGGAAAGACTCCCAGGGCACAGAGACACACACCTGACAGGTGGAGTACTAAGCTGTCTGAAAGCCAGGTCAAGACCACAAGCTCTACAACGAACAGGGCAGTAAATGAGGGAAGTAAGGCCCTCAGTAGGAAACATTTCCCCAATTGTAGGTAATGCAGAACTGCAACATGGGAAGGCCAAATTTGGACACCAAAATATCTTGCACAGTGATTTATTACATTTCAGGAACATACAGTCTTTTACAAAAACTGGACCATGACCCTCATGAATGCGGCCCCTCTGCAGTAGATTACTATTCTAATGCTGAAAGAAAGTCAATTAATGGATAGCAATATATGCCCCTCAAGCCAAACCCTTTGGTTTCATATCATGGTTCACCACGCACCGTGTGCCCTTCCTGAAAGAAAGCTTATACTCACAGATCCTCATATCATGCTGTGTATATTTAGACTGCTTTATCAGCTGGGGGAAATGTAGGTCAGGTCAGCAGGATAGCTTGAATGTTAAGTATCTTTTTATTAAAAAATGCTGAATTTTGTTTAGGAGCACTGCCACAGGCTGCTTTATGGCAAAAAAATTAATTTAATATCTATGGGCAGTATTTTCAAATCCCTTAGTAAAGTGCATACATTAAATTAAAGAACAGATGGCTGTAACCACAAAAAAATGTTAAAGGAACAGCAAAAGTTCCATATTTGTCATTACAGACCAAAGTCCTTGAAATGAAACTTGAATTTCTTTTTATGCTTGAGTAAGGGCTGAAGTAATTGTGCCATACCTTGAAACATAAGAAGCATTTGTGGCTAATGAATACATTGCATATTTTAATTGCATTTTGATTCCCAGAGTCTATTTACTGACCTCACCTAGTCAAGTGCTTGCTTCCTAGAGCAGGGCAGACTATGCAAGAGAGGTACTTTTCACTTTAGAGTGAGTGCCCACTACCTTTGTCAGCTCCTAGCCCACTATGAGGCTTTTCAAAAGCAGATCAACAATTCCAATTTGGGTGGTGGAGGAGTGGGAGGATGGATAAGAGAAAGTACACAGTCCCACGTGCCTTATTTCCACAGGAAATAACAAAAGAGTAGAAGTATTAAATGATTACAAGCGCACAGATTTGGCACACACCAGGTTCACCGTCATTTTGCTCCTGAAATTCTTGAAAATCTGTTTATTTCACAGAAATAGCAGATAAATCTCAAACCTGCCCAGAACTAGAAATAAACTGAAGACTTCATAACTGCTGCAAGATCCAGCAGCAGCGCTTGTTGTCTAGAAACAGGTATTTCAGCAGGAATCCCTGACCTCGAGCAGTCCCACTGCACTTAGAAAGGAACAAAGACACATCTTTGCACTTACAAGGTCTTGAGCCCTGTGAGGCCTCTGAACATCCTCCCATGCACTGATTCCAGCTGGTTCTCTGTCAGAATCAGTTCCTGCACTCCCGAAGCTCCATCAAATGCACCTTCTCGGATCTCCTTGATCTTATTGTTGCTGAGGTTTCTGCAAGGACACAACCAGTCACAAGGAGAAAATTAGTGGTGTTTCATTCCAAACATACATCACCACACTGGAAGGAGGAGGATAGAAGGAATTTGTGCCTTTTAGTGGTTATCTAAAGAGATATTCATTCAGCAAGGAGAGTATCCAGAAACCGCATCAAAAGCACAGTTATATCAGATACACGAAGATAATTTAAATTAATGGAATTACCAGCTCTTTAGCACCTTGTGTGGGTCTTTGTGTCTCAGAGATATAATGAGTGAGAGTTTCTAACATCTGATTCATGTCCATGAAGGTATGGACAAAGCCTGGGACTGTGTTCTCATCCGGCAAGGATCAGTTAATGTTACTACCATTGAAATGGTGTCACTTGTGGAAATATGGACCACTTTTATTTAGTGCATCTGATACAAATTCTAGTATGTGCACTCATGAAGTCCCAGGCACTTAAATCAAACACTGCCAATCAAAATGAAATGAGTATCACTTAATTGTCAATTCACAGCCACTGCAATATACAGCATTATTTTCTAAGTATTTACTCTGCCTATACCACCTCAAGATGTTTGCTTTTAGATCAACATTGGAAAACTTTGATGTACAAAGGCAAATGAAGTTCTGCTGAAATGCAAAATTAATCTTTTGAATATTTCATATTTGTGAAAACCCTGGTGAACAGACAATTTCTGAATGATAAAAATGCCATTAGAGATGCATAAAAATAAATGGCATTTAATTATTTAAAACATTTATATAGAAGGCCTTAAACACACTAAAACTTTGGGCCTCAGTCCTTCAAGTATCTCCCATGATATCCTGTATAGATCATGATGAATAATCCTATGTGTTTAGGCTTATGACAGGAAACACTATTCTTTATCCACAACAAAAAAAGGGAAAGTGCAAGATACGTTCTTGCTCCCAAGAAGATGCCAAATTCCAAAACCATTATTCATACTGAATAGCACATTATTCCAGAAATGATCCCAGTACACACACAGCATGAGTAATAGTTTCAAAATCCAATTCCAGGTGATATAAAACAAATGACAAGGTATCAGATTAACACCTGGGCTACTCTGCTCAGAAGAATTGGCAATCTTACTGGGATAAAAGTTGACAGAAGATATGGCAAGAGATAGCTTGGCCTCAGATAGAAATAATATGGGCCTTGTTCTTTGCAGAAGTCATCACTTAATTAAAAAAAAAAAAGAAACTGAGTCTTGGAGATATGTTTCATGTGGGAAACTGGAGTACACTGGTTTATGTCTTCTGAATGACTGTCAGAGAGTGGGCCCTACAGCATGTGGCCCATCACCTCTTGTGCATTCTGTGATCAGAAAGAATAGGAGCACGCCAGCAATCAGCCAAAAATAACATAAAACCATACAGAAATACTTACATGCAGATTTTGCTTTCCAGAAGTTTAGTGCTTTGTGCTAACGCTCACATGAAGAGTTTATGTTCAGTGTCAGAGCAAGTCAAGGAAGGATATTCTGACATATGCATTTAATTTTAGGGCTCAGTTATTTCTCTGGTGGAAATGTTTATAGCTCAGCATCTCTTTTGAATGCTGGCATAAATAAATGCTCCCAAAGATCCCTTTCCTGGTAAAGATCATGCCACAATGCATATTTGCACAAAAATGAATGAATAAATAAGTAAATGTTTGAGGTGGGAAGAGAGGGTGAGTTACTTTATTAGACAAACTTTGACTTTCAAGTCACAGATTGCACACTGACCTACACTTGTAGTTATAAAGTTTTATCAGTTACTTTTTACCATCTAAAAGATATTTAGTTGCATTTATTAAAACATGGATGTGATTTTAATGGTCTATTAGATACTGAAGGCAAAAAAGAGCAAATCTTGGAGACAAAAGCTGGTCACCATCTGCAAGTGAACTGTCACCTTTATACAATGCAAACCATCTGAATTTTAATTGTTGCCAAAGAACTTCTGCAGACAGGCAACTTCACTCCTTTGAATTAATAATGCCTGACCCTTTCAGCAACACAAAATTGCCCAAAAATATGCCAGCAGCCTCAGGAGAAGACAGTTATATATACCTCTCCCATGCAAGAGATTTGAAAATCCAAGATTAAATGCTACGGTGAAATCAAGGTTGCAATGCAGAGGAAAGACAAGCTCTGCAGTAATGAATAGGCAAAGATGACAGTTCCCTGCAATCCTGCTTGGAGTGTTGTCAAAGCAGATGTTCTGCCAGCCTGGATTTTGTTATTTGTCTTCCTGAATTAAAGTTTCCCCATATCAGAATGCAACCAAAAAAAAAAAAAAAGTAGATGACAACACTCATTCACCAAAAAAAAAAAGTTTCCTCCTAAAGTCTGAACAGTTACAATAATAAACATGAGAAATCACACATTTTTAAGTCTAGAATTGCCAGCAAAATAATCAGTTGGTACAAAGCTTGCAAATGAAAGCACTGAAAACTTTACCTGCTCTGCAACTCAGAGACCTCTAATTCTGTCCTTCCCAGCCCTAAAAGAATCTTTCAGATGTGATCATCACATTTGACAAGGAATTGTTTTATCAGAAAAAAACTACTGACAGACTTAATGGCAAACTCCCACTTCTAGAAAAGCCCTATCCTCCTGCAACACTAAGCCTCTATAAGGAATTCTTCTTGAAATACTGGAAGACAATGGAAAAGAAACTGAGCTTTGAGATTCCTGCCCTCTGGCAGGACCCAAATGGGAGCCTATAGTCAACCTGGTCACTCGAGAAGGCTTTTTGTAAGGGCTCCCTGATTTACCCTGGTGATAACATTTAATCCTATTTCCAGACTTTTATTTTGGGCAAGAGGTCAAAATAAATTTTCAGAAAGCCTGGGTCTACTTTATGGGGGGCTGTGAAAAGGAAATGAACAGATCAAGAAGCTATCAAGGTGACATTGTTCACACAGCTCACTTTTCAGTCAGATTTCATTTACTTTATGGTTAAAGTTTATAATAATATTATTTCTGTTGATCTCATAACTTCAACACAGAACAAGCTGGATTCTATTCAGACTTAACAGAAGCAATCCTGCTGTACCTGCTGGGTTAATGTTAACATTCCAGGGTGCCTTCACTGCTGAGTTACTGACACACCTTCCCATCCAGAGGACTGCAAAGGCTCTGCTTGGTCTCACCTCAAACCCTCTATTTTTATCATATAAACAGCCTGTTCCAAGTGGGATTTCCCTAGGATATTTCTGTCTGCTGGTGATGTGTTTGGAATCTTCAAGTATTTGCTGGGAGGAAAAGCCCAGTGCTGTTGCTTTCTTCAGGACGATGCTGAGAAGGTTTTACAGACTTTACCAACAGTCTGGCTGGTTTTTATAGTGTGAGCTGTTTTCAGAAGCAGGATGGCACTGAAAGTCTTAAACACTACAGAGAGACAGTGAATTGCACCCACTGACACTCCTACCATTCAGCAGAGCAGATTGATGGCCTCACTGACGAAAAAGGGAGGTGCACGCTGAGCCCAAATGCCACGAACCACAACACACTCTGCAATATGATTTCCAGAAAATAAAGCCTGTTTCTGTATAACAAGTGACAGCTGACTGCAACCTCATTTGCCACAGCAAAATTCATGCTTAGGGGAAAGAACAGCAGGTAACATCTTTTTCCAAGGACACAAACTACTTCTGCCTCCCCGAGAAACTTGAGATTCTGGTTTCGAAAATGACTTCATGTCTGCAAACTTTATCGTGATTCAATTTTATCTGACATGTAAAATGCTTCAAATCCTGGTCTGACACTGTCTGACACTCCATACAATTCAATCCAGCAGAAATACTTACACATTAAACTTCCAAAGGCAATTACATACTAGAGGTGGGTTGGCAGTACCAGCTATTGCCAAGACACCCTGACACTTCTTATTATAAGACCATATTATATGTTCACTTTGTAACTAAGCAAGACTTAACAGAATGAACTGTTAGATGACCCTTTCGGTTTTTGAGGTAAATGTTTTTTATTGCTTTTGTTCTCAAGAAAAGAGGTCAGCCCCCTTTTTCCCCAGCACTGCATGAAGTGTGGCAGTTCACCTTTCTATTTTGAATTTGAGCTCACTGTTGATTTTTTTGGCCTGAAACAGCTGCTGAGGGAATGGTCAGAGGGAATGGTCAGTCGCACTGATTTCCCATGGGCACAGGCAGGCTCTGGAAATGAGATGCCATCTGGGGACTGCAGCCTCTCTCTGTGGGTCAGCATCCCATTTCAGCCAGCAAGGGTATCTCTGCTCCCTCTGAGTTGGGTACCCAGGGGGGTTTGGAGCTTGAATCTGTCTGCTGTGGCCAGAATACCCTTCCAGGCTCCCATGCCATGGGAGTCCCCAAGCACTGGAGGGTTTTTTCTCTGAGTAACAACTTGAGGTAGTCCTAAGGAGTTGTGGGGTCCCCAGCATTTGCTTCATCCTGACTTTGGTACTTGCTGCAAGCGAAAGTCCAAACTTGTGGATGGTGATGTCTCCCCTCACCCTCCCTGATAAGAGACCTTGCTGTGCTGAGTGAGAACATCTCCCACTGCAAACACAATCACCTGTGAAAGGCAGAAGCTTCCAGCTCCCAGGGCTGGTCCTGGAGCCTTTCTACCTCATGGGGATAGGATACCCCCAAAAATCCAAGTCATGGAGCTGCGCCCACTCTTCAAATGCTCAGAAACACATCCTTGTATTTCTCCTGCACTTTCAGCAGACTCAAAGTGCTCTTCTCTAACCACCTTGCAAAATACTAGTGGCACAGTCCTTGGAGCCTGGAAGTGACTGTAATGGGACTTCAGCTTTCAGAGACAAGGCTTCCCTTTACACTTGCAAGGTGAGGGAGGCAATGTGGTAAGAATGCAATGAAAGCAACACGGAGTTCACTGGAGAACCCAGTAAATTACTTCTGGACTGGGCTAAATCTGTCTAGAAGAAACTACATCAACCTTTTTATTCTACTGTAAAAAGCATCACACATAAAGACGAATTCAAATTTAGGTTAGGAAAATAGCATTATGCATATGAGATTTTGCAGCTAATTATTGTTGATTTTTTTTTCAAAGCCATACACAGACGTGTTAACCTTTTGAAAACCAGCAGGGTAATTTTAGCTATTTGATTCCTAAATAAAATGTGGTAACACTTTGCATTATGAATCTCTGACCTTTATATTTCTATATCAGGAATTCAATTTTGGTTTGCATTAAAAAGTATTAAATCCTGGGCTGTCACATCATACAATAAGATTCAGCTTAGAAGGACTATTTACAGACAAATTGCACCACTACAGCTACATATCAGAGGTGGGGTTGGCAGTACCACTTATTGCAGAGGTATTCTGACACTTCCTTTTTCTTTTTTTCATGTTTGCTTTATGACATAGACAAGATTTAAAACAACGAACTCTCAGATGTCCTCCTCATGTTTAGAGGTGGATACGTTTTAGGTTTTGGTTTTTTTTTTTTTTAAACAAAAGAAGGAAGCTCACCTTTACCAGGAAATAAAGCTAATAAAAATATTCTATATCTCAGAACTAAGATAATCTTATCTCAATGCCAAATCTATGACTACTTGCCTTTGAAATCTTACTGGAAAACCCAAGACACTGTTGTATGCCACAACAGACATACAGACATGGACACCTGATGGAGCTTGAGGGACAAAAGGACAAAGGTGAGAACACAAGCAAAGTCTGAATCCTTCTTAGGGTCCAATTTACAAACCATCTCAAGGTGTTCAAGTTATAAACCAAAGCTACACAAGCATAATGTAATATGGGGAGGCACAAAGATGAAACAACCATCAAGAGGAAGGCAGAGATAATTCCCCTCTCTCTGGAATGATGCTGGAGCTGTATCAGCCCCAGTGGAACCACGGCACTCTCAAATGATGTTTCTTTGCAAAGCTCCTCGACACAGATCTATCACTAGTCCTAAACTGAAGGACAACTGGAGGGCAAGGATTCAAATACCCATTCTGATATCCATACTCCAGATATTCAGATTAATTTCAGTCAACAGAGTATTACAGAGAAAAAATAAAGAAAAAAGAAAGAAAAATGCGATTTAGGCAAATGCTCTACCACTGCAAAGCTCTGAGCTGTTTTCCTAAGCCTAGGAAGCAGTACCGTTTCCAGAGATTCCTCCTCCTGCTGTTTGCCTTTAACACTTGAACACACAAGGAATAGGATGAGACAGAGTCAATACTGTCAATCAAATAATGGTAAAGTGTCTTGTCCCTTATATATACTAAAAAATGGGGGTTGGATTAATATTCTTCCTCCTTAATTTAATAGCAGCAATAAGACCCAATTAAGACCACACAAACCACATTCCTGCCACACACAGAGCTAGAGACACTGTTTCTGAGGTGTAGGGTGGGACTTGTTTTTGCCACATGTTTGACCTGCACACCTCAGCTCTCACCACCTACCAAGGGCAGATAAAAAATTCTTTCACAGGAAACAAACTGTTAAAAGAACTCCCACAACAGTTTCATGCTGCATTTCTGCCTCACAATACAGACTCATCAAGGCATCCCTGAGTGATGGGTGGGAACAGAAAGGACAACACCATAACTGGCCTGCAGTAAGTTTTAAATAAACCCAAAGAAATTATTCCAGCTATCACACCTCTCCAATTTTCCAAACATGAATCCTGAAGGTTTGATGAGGACATCTCCAGTTTGAACATACGCTTATATAACATGCATTTTTCATTGCTGTTTATTGTCTCCCTACAGAGGGAACAGAGCACTTCAACAATGTCAACAACTTTTCCTAAGAGCACTGCAGCTACAAATTATGGATCATTCACAAAATACAAGGTTAATGTTTATGATTCATTCCCCAAGTCTGGTTGGTCTGTACTTGCACAAATATAACCCCCCTCCCAAACCTGCAGTGCTGCACCTGAAACTCTTGAAGAAATAAGACAGACAAAAGAACCTCACTACAGTTGCCTCCAAGGCCCCTGAGATCTCACATGGATTCAAATGGCTGGGAAGCTCCAGATGGCAGAAACCATGTGAAATGAATGCAGAACAGCCAGCCTGGCTTGGTTGGTTACCCTGAATTACTTTGATTCAGGCTATAAAATCTTACTAAAGTAAACAGTTAAATGAGACATTAGCATAGGGTTAAAACTTTAAATAACGTCAGAAAAAAATCCATTTTGAAGACTATGAGGAGGTATCTAACATATTATCCTCTTCCCAAAACACATCTCTTATTAAATATATATATTGCACAGTGCCAGGATGAAGGCTGTCAACAGAATGACACAAATATATTTGAATTACTGATTTCTAAGTTTGCTAATTGATTCTCCTCTCTGAAACAATGATGATTGAATGAAGCTGCCATCATCTATATGTTGTAATATCATTTTCCTTTGACTATTTGAAAAAAATACACCAGCTGGAGTCACGCAATACATTCGAAAGACAAAACCAAAATGCTAAGCTTTGTAGCCCTCTCTAACAATAAGCATATCCGAATAAACTCTGGGACAGAATTCCTGTCAGTCCCTATGATTCGAAGACTTGGAGAAATGTAGCCCAACAAAACAATGAAATGTCAGCCTAGGGATCTTCGTCTGTCAGTGTGGTTTAACTGTGTCTGTCCATCTAGGAGGCAACTCATCCAGTTTCTTTAAACTCACATCAAAAAAGGGATTTCTACTACTGCAGTACTGACATGTAAAAAAGCATCCCTTCCTCTTTCCTTGTAATCCAAGGCAGTGTATATTCAAACAAGCAAGCAACTCAGACTTACATTTTCCTGAGGTTGGGTAGTTTCTTGAAGAGTCCAATGGCTTCCAAAACAGCAATGTCATTGTCATTCAGGCGCCTGACAGGAACAAACAGAGAGGGATTTAGTGCTTCACAGATGTCTGCAGAGATATCTCTGTGCCACACGGGGCTGCCACACGGAGAACCATGACCTTTGTTAAGCAAGGCACTGTCTGCCACGTCTCTCAGGCTCCTGCAGTTAAAAGAGTTTAGCTTTGAAGGGAAGGGAACATAGAAGAGCATCTTGAGTAAAAGCCTGGGATGCCTTTAGGAGCGTAATGCCAAAGGACAGTGTCAGAATGGCTTCATCTTCCGACCCACGGGACAAGGAATTATTGACCTTATCCATTACACAACAACCTTGTTTGCGTGACTGAATCTCCCTCAGCATTCTGCTACACCAGACATGCAATTGGAGATGTGGGTCATGCAAACAGAAGGGATCTGATTTTAGGTCCTCTCCTGTCGAAGTCTACTGGTCTTCAAAATTAATGTGAAGGCCCCTGTCCTGGCAGGCTTGGGATGCAAAATTCTTTCTCTGATAACACGTAGCTCCATTTTGCTATGGAGAGTCTTTGCTGTGTTTCTGGAGGTCTCTCATAATTTTCTATCTTAACTTCAGACCAAAAATTTTTATGGAGGTTTAAATAGAATAAGTAGAATACATACAATGCTAACACAAAAAGAAAATTCTCTTTGAAGGGGTTACTAATGCAAGAAAATAACCAGATTCTTCAGTTACTAAGTAACAAACATGTTTTCTCAGACTCTCTTTAGTAGTATATTACGCTTAGAATTCTGAAGAATCTCAAAAAGCAAATAAATTTCACAAAATTACTTGCAGCTTAAGAATAAATTAATTTCAGTGAGGGCCATTTCACCCAAGTAGCAGGCATTGCTGAGATGGAACAAGCTCCTGACCACAGGTTTACTTAAAAGGGTTAAACCATTTCTTAAATAGAAATGACCAGAGACAAAGGGAAAATAGAGAGAACTCTAAGGTAGAGTGGAAAGGAACCATGGCACTTCAGGAGGACACACAGAGGACTTGGCTGGTGCAGGGGGCCATGGCTCCCTCCTCATCCCCACTGCTGGCATGAACACTAAGGGAATGAGAGTTGTGCTTCCCCATTTTCATACAAGGATGATGCAGGAGGTGCCTTCAGTTGTTTAAGTCCCTTTCACAGCCTTTAGAAGTAGGAAAGCCAATAGAAAAGCCAAGCATCCCCTGGAGAGCCCCACTCACAGGTCAGTGGTGTACTCGGGGAGGTGGCTGGGCAGACGGGTGAGTTTCTGGTTGGAGCAGTCCACGATTGTCCCCTCGCAGCGACACTTCTCGGGACACACAAGGTCCATGAAGCACTTCCCAGTGAATTTACTTCTGTAATCCTCTGACCCTGCAATGAAAGGAAAACATATTCCAGCAAACTGTTGCTGATAACTGTGGCGATCAGAGGTTTTATGGAATCTGTCCTCAACACAGCCTCCTGTCAGCTCCCAGCTCCTGCACACAATTTTAACGCTTGCCAAGGAATTTTGCTCAGCAGTTTTTAAAATCTCAAGACTAGCCTCTGCTTTTTCATTCTTCCCCTGACAGATTAATTCCTTGTCTAACAAACCTACCTGTTAAGGTATTTTCCAGCAAAGACACTGTTTCCCATTTGAAGTTAGTCCAGCAACACGGAAAAGGCATCTCATGAAAGAATTCAAATGACAAAAGACTTTTAAAGATGTCATTAAAAAGCCCCAAATGTTCAGACCTCAGCTATCAGAGCTATTTTTGAGAGCAACCTTTTATTAGAGAACCTTGTCAGTTTTCCAACAATTAGATACCTTTATTAACTATGTTAAACAAACAGCGAAGGAAAGTAATAGGAGTTTAAATCATTTTCATTTTAATTAAGGAACGGGTAGACCATACTTAGTGAGAAGCACTCCCTGATGTACCATTACTCCATGATTGCCAGACCTCTTTGACTAGGTTTTTGACCCATTCTAATGAAATGCTTTTCCAATTACGCTCAGTGAACTAATCTGTCCTCTTCAGGTTTGGTATTTCTCATTTAGTAACAGCAGGTTGGAAACTCGATCTCAGTGCTTCAAGGAACCAGGAATATTAATAAATGTGTATGTAAGCAAAGTGTTGCCAAGCCCCTGCCATGCAATTCCTGCCCACTCACTTCGTATTTCATAATGGAAGCACCAGAATTGCCTCAGCAACCTCATGAAATAATCAGTGATTGTAACTACCAAGAAGCATTTCTTTTCCAAAGTTTAAACAGTCAACTGCAAGGTTTTCTCAGGGAGAGGCTGAGCAGATTATTTAAGAACCCAAAAACATCAATAAAACCTTAAACCTGAGCAGAAATTTGGTTTTAGAGATTTGATGACATTCATCACCTGCTTCCCCTTCCCAGACTGATAAATACTCCACTGCTCATTTTATGACCACCTACTATTTTCTGAAAGAAAAAAAGAAACTGCCTAAACCCACTATTATTTTAATTTATGTTGCACATTACCTCCACAGAGCAATGCAGCGAAAACAAGCAATTCTACAGGCAGTCTAACATTTTGATCCCACAGACACGCTTTCGTTTAGTTTTGTAATTCCAAACTGGATTGTGAGAAACTTGACATACAGCTCTGCACTTTACCACTTCAGTGGTGTTAAATACTTTGCTGGTTTTTGTGCTTATTGTAAATTATACATCTGAAGTGTGACTTCACTGACAGTACAGCACTTACAATAACAGGACCACTGGACATTTTAAAGCATCATAAAAATACAGTCTAAGCCTTTCCCCACAGCACCATCATTTAAACTCTTATCCTTTAAAAAAAAAACAACCCAACATCTGATTTTCAGTCCTAACAATTCCAAGCTTGGTAGTCAGTATGTCTGGTTGTTTATGATCCCTTGGAAATAATGCCAAAGATGAACAGCTATCAGGACCAGAGTTTATTAGAATTGCTACAATTACAATACACATTCAAAAACCCGCCAACATTTTTCAGTAATCAGAAAGTATCTTGGAAATCCCCAAATTAACCCTTGAAGAAGCACTTCTCATTTTCGTAGTAAAAGCTTTTGTTTAAAAAAATCACAAACAACATGAAGTTACTTAGGGTAAAAATTTATTAAGTGTAATTTTTAGTCCGCTGATGGATACAAGATTCATTTTCCTATAGGAAAAGAGGGTGGCAAAGTAACTGGAACGCTTTATGAAAAAGGAGTACATAACATTAAGAGGTTGAAAACCAGTTTTTGGTTTTCTCTAAAGCTTTCTGGCAAAGTAAATAAAGAATTTTACTACATTTTGACTTGGCTCCTGCTCTCCTGATGGCACAAACCCTTCCACACTGCATCAGCCACAAGAAGGTGATGCTGCCTGGGCATCAGTCCACAGCCACCACACTTACAACAGAGGAAAGGCCTCTCAGCTCAGCAGGAGAGGCAGGGAGCAAACATCACCTTCATACTTTTTCTTCTTTCTCTCTCTCTCTTTTTTCTCTCCTTTTTTTTTTCCCCCCTTTCCAAGTGAGTTTAAATAAGAGTTACCCAGGTAAGCTCTGAGTCAAAATTAACCAACAGCTCAGCAAGTACTCAGTCATCTGTTGGCCTGTGAGACAGCAGGAATCACCTGCCAAAGACTAGATAAAATTTACTGTTTGACCTGAGCCTTGAGATCACTTGGACAGGTGGCTGCTCTATTAAGATATTCCCATCTGGGATAGCAATGTGAAATTCAGCCATCTGCTTGCAGAACTGTTTAAGCACATATACCCATTTCTCCATGCAGGGCTTTATCAGGGCAGGACTGCAAGGCTCCAAGAGAGCACAGCAGGACTCAGGAAGCACAGTTAAACCATCACATGCATGTAGCATTTCCTGCACACCATAAGATCACCCCTGGAAAGGCAGGGAGAAGAGATGCAGGACAGAACATTACCTGGAAGTTTCTAGTCATTTCCAAAATTAGTAAGAATTAACTTTGCTGTAAAACAAGTAGCCAAGGCAACAGCAAGGCCTGTGCTTAACTGAGGGCAGCTGTGGTTATTTGAATTGCTAGTTACTGATAACATTTGCTTTTCACAACCAATGTGACACCACTATCAGGTACCAGGGCATCGCAATTTCTCAGTATCATAAAACAAACACATGTGCAGCACAGAGATAAAGAAACACCACATTTCCAAGTGCTCAAAAAGTTTAGGTGCCTTTCTGATAGACACATGGAGAAATTAAGCAACAGAAAGAAATACCTTTTCGTCCTATTCTTCTTTTTAAACATTGTTTAGTGAACTTGAATTCAGTTCTTAAAGTTTAGCTTTGCCCAGAGGACTTAAAAGGAGTGCTGGATGATCTGCTCTGCAAGACATCAGGCTGTCTCGACAGGGGTTTCAGAACTGACCTGATGCATTCGTTTTAGAAAATGATCCAGCTGCCTCAAATTTGGCACCAAAAACAGGACCACAGGGATGACTTGGTCTAAAACTCGGACAAAACCCCAGGGATCTCAATACTTACTTCTTCATGTAACCACAGGAAAAAAGGAGGTACATTGTCTGTGATGATTTCACATTGCTGGTATTAATTCTTATCAGTAATTACAGATAAAATCTAAGAATATCAGATGTCCTTCTCCTAATGGCTCCACAACAGATATGTGACAAATCTGCAAGACTGGACACTATTTCCATATGAGAAAACTTCTGTATGAGGCTCTCAAAGTTCTTTGTGAATAGGTGTCATTATCTCTATGTAGGGGAGAAGTAAGGCAGAAGTATTTAAAGATCTGTCAAAGCTAAAATGGCCCATTTGGGTCTGCTGACTCAGCTATGGAACTGTTGGATAACAGTATTATCATACAGACCATGTTACCCATGTCATTTCAAGAGATAAAAGACAATGCTTTGCAGACTCTTCTGAAGGTTTTTTTTGCATTATATTTCTTCACAGTGCATTAAGACTGCTCAGATCAGGTCCAAAATCATGTTAAGTTGCAGGCCTCTTGTTACAGAAATGGCATTCAAAGTACCTTAAGCAGAAGGACTGGACAGCTCGAACACACAGATGCAGCTTACATTATTTATAAGGCAAGAAGATTGATTTTTCACCTCTGCAGGTATGGCTGGAATCACCCTTCAATCATATTAACCACCAGAATGCCTAACTTCTCCATTGTAAGAGCAATTAAACAGATTAATTACTTAGAAATGGTTATTCTGCATGCAAGCCCTGTGGAAAGTCTGTCCAGAACGTCACTCAGGCTCCCCCCTCCGTGCCCAGGAGCCTGGTCAAGCAACACCTCACCTTTTTTATTTTTTTCCTGGGAGAAAAGGGGAAATCTCTCACCTTTTGATGCTTCTGAAACCAGCAGAAGTATCCGAGCATGCCATGCTGCAGGGAGTATGCAGCCTTCCATGGTGCTTGACAGAACCATGTTCCATTTGTATTGTTCTACCACATGGTTAGATCAAGCACAAAGGAAAACCCCATGGACAGCCAGAGTCAGAGTTAGGCAGCGCCAGAGAGAGAGGAGCGTTGAGAGGAAGCAGCATGGAGAAGCACAAGCTGAAGGTTCACGGGGAGCTGCTCTCCACTCCACCCATGCAAAAAGGTGCTGGATACAAGAGGTCATCCTTTAGGCTACAGCTGCAGGAACACCCTGGAGCACAATGGGGGTTAGTGTACACGAACAGAGCCCAGGAGAACTCAGACAGAACCGGTCCCACAGAAAACATACTGCCAAAGGACTGCCAACAGCTCCTTCCAGGAAGGATGTGCAACTTCCACCACACAGTCAATGCCCAATCTACGCTGCTTTTTATTACTTACTCTCTCCTGGTGTCTCCTTTCAGTACAAATGCCATTTTGGTTTGCTCCATTTATTTAAATGCAACCTTAGAAATACCTCAGCTCATATTAATAACAGCAGATTCTGAGCTGATGGCCAAGCTCTGGTATCAAATGCTCCCCGAGCGCCCTTTGAGCCTGATTTCAGCTCCCAGGAGCCTTTTATGCTGGGGCCATTTACACTGACATCTGTAATTACCACTGCTTTGCTTTTCTTTTTTTTTTTTAATTTATTTCAACTGCACTTTATAGGAAGGGAGTACACACCTGCTACTACAGAAATATATTTTGTTACTCTGTTTCTTGGCATATCTGTTGGGTTTGGTACATCATTTGCTGATGGAAGCCAAGCATTCTGTCTTTCCAGCATCCTGGATTATTTCAAACAGCTTTGCTTCTTGTAACTCACTGCTGCAACTTTGACACATAAAGCAGAGCATTCAGTTTTGGCTTGACAGCTCTCTCTGAAATAAAACTCTCACTGACTTCAGTGTCTGCCAGTGGACAGTGCTTTTGAAAGTCACATCTCAAATGTTC